CACTCCTTCACTTTTCTTTTTCTGGCTTCTCTTCCACCTTCTCCTAACTTTTGAGTCTTGGTGTGGGCTTCTTGTCTCTCAATATATTTTGTCCTTAGGAAATTCCATCTTGTCCTACGATTTTTATATTCCATCTTTATAAATGATCATTATGTCTGAACTTCTAAATTTATATCTCTGACCATGATCTCTTTCTGAATTTGGGGCTCTCATTTTTCTTTTTCTTTCTCTCTCTTCTTCTCTTTTCTTTCTTTCTTTCTTATCTTTCTTTCTTTCTCCCTCTCTCTCTCTTTCTTTCTTCTTTCTTTTCTCTGTCTTTCTCTGTGATTCCTCCCCTTTTATTTTGAGATACTGTCTTGGTATGTAGTCCAGACCAGCCTCAGATTCACAGTCCTGTTGCCTCAGTCTCCTAAGGGACAAGATTACAGGTATGTGCCACCATGCCCTATGAGGACTCCCTTTCATGTCACACAACATCTTCCTTTGGATAGCTAGGACAACTCAAACGCAGAAGTCCAAAATAGACAATTTTCTCCTTGCCAATTTAAGTTTTCCCCTCCCAGTCCTCACATTAGTCAGGGGAGCCACAGCCCACCCAATAGCCAAGAAGAAGCCTAAGCATTCTTCTTGATCTCCTTTTCCTTACCCCTTTCTGCCTCTGCCATCAGCTGACCCTACTGACTCCATCTCCAAAGCACATTTCCAATTTGTCCTCCATTCACTTTATCTCCTTTCTACCCCCACATCTCCCGTTGTATTGAACAGCCTTTCAGCCGGTCTCCCAGATTCTGCTTACTCCTTGCCCTCCCCAGCTGTTGCCCTAACTGGTCCCCATCTGCCCAGTTTAGAACTAGGAGGAGAAAGTACAATATCATAGGGGGCCCCCTTACACTGTAGCAAAAAAGGTTGATTCGACTGTAAAAGCAAAAATTGTAAGCTATGTATCCTAAGTGAAGCCAAAACCAAAAAGGAAGCCTTTGATGACAGAGCTGATACCTCTAATATCTAGAGAACATTTATGTATCAATAAGAAAAAACAATCTGTTTGAAAAATGAACAATGACAAAAATCTCACATGGGACCAAATGTCTAAAAATACTCTCAGTTCTGCTCATTGTAAATGCTAATTAAACATTTTTGCTAGTCAAATTACCAAAAGTTAAGGAGATTAATAACATTCTCTGTAATAAGGATGAGGATATTTATATTCTTTCAGGTAGGAATGTCAGCTGGTATATTCTTTTAGGAAGGCAATTTGGCAGTACTTCACTTCTGGGGTCAGTTTCACTGGAATGCTAGAATGAACACATGTACATACATGTTTGAGCAGCTTTTATCATTGCTGTCATCAATTCAACAAATATTTATTTTTATTTTGAGATGGGTCTCACTCTGTTGCCTAGACTGGCCTCAAACTCTAGGACACAGTGATTCTCCTACCTCAGGCTCCTGAGAAAATATTTATGGAGAAGCTACTCAGAATGATTTTCAGGTGCTCATGGGACATTTACTTAGGCCACCTTCTGGGTTGTAAGTGTCAACTTCAAAAAGATTTGATCATGGAAAAAATGTTTTCTGCTGGATGTGGCGGTACATCCCCATAATCCCAGCTTTCTTGACAGGCTAACGCAGGAAAATTCATCACAAATTTGAGCCCAACCTGGGCAATTTACTGACTTAGAAAGACCTTGTCTCAAAATAAAAAAGGGCTAGGAAAGTAACTCAGTACAATGGCATTGAGTTTAATTCCCAGTAACACCAAAAAAGTTTTCTCACAAAGTGTAATTGAATTTGAAATAAAAACATCTGGAAATTCCCTACATAGTTGGAAACTACAATGTGCTTCTAACTAACCCACAGATCAAAGAGGAACTCACAAGCTGGGGATGTAGCCCAGTGTTACAGTGTGTCCTTAGCATGCATGGGGCCTTGATTTGATCTTAATTGATCGTAGCACCACCACCAAAAAAAATAAAAAATAAAAAAAAATGAGAAAACGAATTGAATGGAAATAAGAGCATGACGTATCAAAACTTGTGGGATACAGTTAAGCTAGTGCTTGGGAGCAACAGCAGAGGGCGCTTGACCTACAAATGTGGGTCTGAAGTCAGTGATTTAGGTTTCCACATTCAGAATAGAAAAAGGAAGTCAAGTAATTATATAACCTGTAATCCCAGCTACTCAGGAGGCTGAGGCAGGAGACTCACTTGAGCTCAGAAGTTGAAGGCCATCCAGGCAACACAGGGCAACCCCTCTCAAAGGAAAATCCAAAGGTAACAGAAGAAATAAAAAGAGGGAAGGAGAAAGGGGGTAGAAATGGGGGAAAAAAAGAAAAAGAAATTACTATAAGCCTATGTGCCAGGCACTAGACTAGCCAATGAAGATATAACCTACAGGGGATATGAGTGAACCAAAGTTACACCATCATAACACGTGTTCTATGGGAAGAGGGTAGGGTGTGAAAAATGGGGAAATGAGGAAACTAATTTAGGTTGGGAGTGAGAGAGAGACTGTCTTGCTTTAGGGAAGGAATTGACATTAAATGAAAAACTAAAGGTTGGGAAAGGAGGAAGCCCTTTTTGGACTTTGAATTTCCAGAACTGCAAGATAATAAATAAGTGTTGTTCTAAACCACTAAATTTGTGTTCATTTCTAATAGCAGCAATAAGAGACAAATGCAGTCCCCAAGGACTGCCTATCATCCTTTCTGCAAGTGTCTGGCTTTATTTCCTTCTTCCAGAACTTCCAAAGAAATATATTTTTTTCCTATGAGGAGCCCATTAAACACTTTTAATTAGATAAATCTATACAAAGGTTTCTTTAACTGGTAGGATCTTCTCAGAATATGTAAATTTTTAAATTGTATTATTGAGCCCAACGAAAATTCTTAAAAGGTGGAATCAAGGCACAAAGCCAAGATACCTTGGAAGCGTCCTCTTAGAAGTCTGGCAAAAGTCTGGGAAAGCCTGGCAGCCTGGAGTGTGCAGGGTCATGGGGCCTGATGTTCTGCTTTTCTCAGCCCCTGTTCAAAGTGACCTTACACAGGCATCAGTGACAATAACTGCCCAGGCCTCTCCACCCCAGAGCCAATGTCCCCCCTGCTGCTACAACCTCTTGGGGATGATCTTGCTGAATAATTGGCTTCATCTGTCTTCTTTAACAGGGGTGGTTCAAATCCTCATTAGACCCAACTTCAGGAAAGTCTTCTTTCAACTTAGCATGGGTCTGAAAGGTCTCTCTGACCAGTGTTTTTCATATTGCAATAAAAACACTGGATTTAAAGTCAGTGCTTTGTATGGCTTTTGATTCTATTTACTAACCTGTGCCAGAGAGTATCGTAGAATCTTCCTGGGCCTCAGTTTCCTTATTTACAGAGCAAGGATAGTATTTACTCCTCAGAATTATTATACAGATAAAAGAAAAACTGCAAGAGAAATGAAAGCTGCGAATGCCCTTCACTTTAAAGTTTATCCATGCTCAGCCATACAACTGATCAATTCCTGGTATGTGTGCCTTGAAGCCCAACAGTGTAATGTTAAGCTTCAGGAGCCCCAAGCCTGAGGATGCTGTAAAGTCATCATTTTCATTGCAGAAAGGGCAAAAGCATAGAGCCAAAACTACCAGTTGCCAAGGACTGGGTGTGGTGTGTGGGGGTTTGGGGGGATTGAGACAGGACAATGTTGGGGGAGGTGCTGGAAATGTCTGTATTTTGACTGACTGTATACATGTTTGTTGAAACTCCGAATTGCACACCTGAGAAAAGCGAACTTTATGGTATGTCAGTGGTACATCACTAAGTTAATTTTTTTAGCTACGGCATAATGTGTTATATGTACAGCTGGCCCTCCATACCCATGGGTTATGTATGTATCTGTTGATTTCAACCACCCTGAATTATGAATATGGGGGGGAAGTTACCTGTGTACTGATCATGAATAGATTTTTTAAATGACATTATTCCCTAATCAATACAGTATAACAACTATTTACATAGCATTTACGTTGTAGTAGGTATGCTAAGTAATCTAAAGATGATTTAAAGTATAGGGGAGGGTTTGCACCATTTATAGGCAATGCTGTGTAAGGAACAACCCTGCATTTGGTACCCATGGTGATCCTGGAGCCAGTACCCGCAGGACACAGGGATGATTATATAGTCCCTTGGAACGGATCTAAACAGTGCTCAGCCAATAAATAACCTGTTCCAAATATCTGGCTTCTGGGTCTTGTTCATACAGCATGCAACATGACTTTCCGGTTAGTACAGCGTGGTCACTAATTACAAGGGTACTTACTGAGCAGTTCCCTTCTAAAAAGCTGAGATTGCTCTGCCTAAAGGAATAAGAACAGCACCAAGAGAGCGGTGAGGCCAGGCCAGGCCGTCAACCCACGAGCTCGGAGATGTTGGTGGGGAAGGGAGCAAGGGGTGGAGGTCCCCGCTATGGTCCCCAAGCCTGGAGGGGCCGTCCCAGCCTGCAGGAGGTCCTTAGATCAGTAACAGATGTAATCTTGGTCTGGAGGGAAGTTCTAACTCATTGTTTAACATTAGTCAGACTTCTGTGGATAAGGACGGCCTGACGGACATTAGCTTAATTAAAACGTCAGTAAAGTTGCACTCAGGCGTTAGACGGGCGCTGGGTCAGGGCGCCGTCTGAGCGCGAGGGCGTCGGCGGCGCCCGGGCTCCCCTCGGCCCCGCCCCGCCCCGCGCCGCTCCTCGCTTCTCACTGGCCCCCGCCAGCCGCTCCGGGTGCCCATTGGCCGCCCCGGCGCCCGCGGCTTCTATAAGGGGCGAGAGCGCAGGTACTCAGGCGAACCTGGTTTGCAGCCAGCGGCATCGGGTGAGTCGGGATGTCTCTCCTGCGGGGGTCCGGGGTCACTGTCGAGGTTAAGGGGAGCTTATGTGCCGCGAGGCAGGGGGCAGAGACCTTGGGAGGTTAATACCCACCAGGAGCTGGGCCTGGTGGACCACAGCGGTACCCCTGTGGGTCTTTGGAGAGAAAAGACACTACTTTTGTGTCAGAAAAGGGTCTTCACCAGCTCTCTTATTTCACCTTCCCAACAAATCCTGTGAGGTGGGTAATCTCTTGCACTTTGTGGTTGGGGAATCGGGTTCAGAGAAACCCAACGTGTGTGACTGATAGCACCTTAGCATAAACAGGCAATGTCTGTCTTCTTTCTCTTTCCATCAAAGGCCAGCATCTTTTTTCCTTCTTCCATAAGTGAACCCTCTGTCAGACAGCTCCAAAGAAACGGAAGTCTCAGATGCAAAGCCTCTCAGCATCACATCGACCCTCGCTACCGCCATCCTTCCCAACAGGACTAAGAGCCTGGTACAAGGCTGCAATCGACAAAGACACACTGGTCCTTGAAGTTCAGATCTAGTGAATAGTCCAGGTAAGATTCACCCGGATTAAATACAACTGTTTGATATTCAGAGATTGGAAATTAACTGCTCATTGATGTTCTGCTCTGGTTACCCTGGGGAGAAAAAGAATAGAACTGAAGTTTCTAACCCAGTAAAAGTTTGCTGCCGGTCAGTTGTTAAAGAAAGGTGAAATTCCAGCTGTAACTATTTCTATGAAGTTACAATCTGCCCTTACATATTTTATCACTGAAGTCCATTTTTACATGTATTATTATTATCATATTAGATTACCTCCAGGCAGGGATGTATTTTTTATTTCCCTTTGCTTTCCCAGTACCTTTGTTTGCTAAAATAATGTTTTTACGGGTAGTGGCTACTTTTTTATTTCGTCTCTACTTCCCGTCCTCAGTCCCGTTTAGAAAAGAAAATCAAGATTCATTAGGAGATTCCCCCTGAACCAGTCCTTGCAGCTTTTAGTTTGGTTCTAAAAGACTTTGGGTGTTTTTTTTTTCCCCTATATGAGATAAATTCAAATTTTATTTGTTATTGATTAATCTAAGGGAAGAAAAGACTTGGTTGGTATACAAACCTGCTGAGGGCTGATGACCTGACATCTTTCTTAGTCTGTCTTCCTTATTTTCAAAGGTGTGTTGCTCACCCTGGTGCATCTCTGGGAAGGAAACGGCGTAGGACAATGAGAAAAGCCAAAGTACCAGTTAGCACTGGCTGATCAGGGTGTTGCTATAAAAAGAAAATACGTACTTCCTGATGAGACACAGATTCAAATTAATGTGACCCATTAGTCATTTTGCAGCCTTTTATTTACCAGGGTAGTACTGTAAGGTTTTCCCTCGGAAGAGTGGGAGAGTGTAGAAGGTGGAAGGGAGAAAACAAAAGTGGAAAATATTAAGGTTCTGAAAAGAGCTTGGAGGTCATTGAATGAAGGAAAAATGAGCTGATGCCTCATTAGCTCTGTCAACCAGGCAAAGTTATGGCCAAATTTTAGGAAAGATCAAGGCTCTGTAAGCTTAGCTTAAAGAATTTATTTTTATTTTGGTTTGGGTGGCGACAGAAGGAATAGGAAAGGGGTTTTCTTCTAGTTCTTAGCAAAGGTTCCTTTTGAGAACTCTTCTTAAGAATAAGAATGTTTCAAAATCTTAGTATAATAGGTCATTGTCTCTAAATAAATCAGAATAATATAAATGCCTTAGATATAATGAGTAATGTGTCCATCACCCTGTGATCTCAGGGTCCTTCTGTTCTGTCCATTCATACTTACTGGGAAGGCTGCCTCTCTCAGGGCCCCTATAGAAGTCTATAAATTCCTCAGAGGCAGATTGCCTTCTATTTTTTAGTCTTTTCTGCCCTAACAGTAATGATGGTGGTGTTCCTGTGAATGTGCCTAGGTTAAAATTCATTCATTTTACCATTAGTCATTATTTGGACCAGAGGAGAATCCACATTATTGTGAAGTTTAACTGGCCATTTAGTTTTTGTTTTGTTTGAAGACAGGGTCTCACTATGTAGTTCAGGCTGGCCTTGACTCATTATGTAGCCCCTGCATTGCCCATATGAGCCTTCTGAAGTATCTGACTCCACTTACCTTGCCTATGTGATCTCTCACTGTTCTGTAGTAGTCACCTTCTCTTTTGTCTTTCACCTCCATATCTACTCCTCCTCTCCCTCTTTCTTTAAGACATTATTGAAACATCCTCAAAACGGCTTCTCGGAACAGATACCAGAATAATTAATGTAGTCACTGCTATCCTGAACTATGACTGTTCTTGTTCTTCTGTGTTGTTATACCACTGTGGCCCACCAGACTTCAATTCCCTGAGAGTAAGGGTGATGTTTTCAATCAGTATTTCATTCATTCAGTGACATCTGTCCACTGACTCTTACATGCAGGGACAGTACTTGGTACTGGGGATACAGATGCTGGGGAAAAGCAATGTGATTCCTCCTCCCATGTAGCACAGGCTGCTTGGAGGGGCAGACAGAGTCCAGTCTCCATCAAAACAGAGTTATAACTGCCCCTGTGACTGTTGGTATGAATGGCAGGCATATGGTTCTGTGATAACCAACACTGAGGGGAGTTGACTTGGACAGGTCAGGACACTGTCATCGCCATATCTGCTCTGAGTGATGAGCTACAAGTTGGGATCAGTGAAAGAGAACAGGTGAAGGACCATGGAGTCAGCTATAGCATTTTAAATTGTTACAAGTTAATTCCATTAAAACTACAACATGAAATAGGCAATTGTATTGATCAGTTTTCCACTGTTGGAACAAAACACCAGACATTCATATCTTAAAGGAGGAGAGGTTTCTTTGGTTCATGGTTTAGCAGGTTTCAGTCCATGACTGGCTGGCTCCAGGCAGAAACATCATGGTGGAAGCGTGTGGTGGAGCAAAGCTGCTTCCATCATGGCAGCTGGAAAGCAGGGCACAGGGAAGAGTGGCAGGGAGAGAGATGTATCTTCCAAGGCCTGCCTCCGTTAGCTCACCTTCTCCAATTGGGCCCCACTTCCTATAGCGCATTCGGCCATAGTGATTAAACCTCTGATGATTATAGCACCCCCCCATGACCCAGTCATCTCTCTATGAATTTCTTAATTCAGCCAAGTTGACAATTAAGATTAATTGGCACAACCACTATGAAGGATTAATAACTAAATGAAAACTAATAAAACTAAATAAAAAATGAAATCCTCAATGTGTTGCTTCCATTTATCCAAATTTTATTTCTCAAGTGTGATTCTTAATTGAAAGTCACCAATGTAAAGGTATTGTACCCTACTTTTTACCCCTACAGTATCCTCCCCCTTGTTGTCCTTTCTAACATGCAGCTAAATTTGTAACCATGTAGCACTTGTAGGCCCATATTTGAAAGGCTTCAGGGCCTATGGATGAGGGAATTCCTTTTGGGGTTTTTTTTTTTTTTTGTTGTTTGTTTGTTTTTTTCCAGTACCAGGAATCAAACTCACTACCTTGCTCTTGCCAGGGAGGGAATTCTTTTGACAGAAAGGAATGACAACATGGTGATACTAGAGTTCTGATCAGCAGTTGCCCTTGTAGCTTACATGTATCCATAGCTGTTCAGTTTGCAAAAGAAATAGAAGGCCTTGCCCTTGCTCTCAAGGAGCTTGCAACCTTGTTAGGAGACAATAAGGAGCAAAACATTTGGGGAAGCCATTCAAAACCCAGTATAAGGAAGTGCTCAAGTTGTGATGAGGGAAGCAGGGGAGAAAGAGATGATAAAAAGATTAAGATGTGATGTATATGTGTATTGACTCCTCACGAGAATGTGATCATTATGTACTGCAAACATGTACCAATAAAAAATAAAATTAAAAAAGCTGTGATAGGAGGGGAGGTAGGATTTCCTAGAGGAAGAGCACTGAATGTCTGGCTACCAGGAAGATGGCAAGAAGCTAGTGGGTCTGAGTCATGGCCTGAAAGAGTGATTGGATTACAAAAATTACTAGAAAACTACTAATTTGTATTGTATGTCTGGTACATGGTAGGCCCTGTGCTAGGCAAGCTGTTAACTTATTTTGGTCTCATTACAGACTTACAAAACACATCTGAGTCAGATGTGGTGGTAAACATGACTGTAGTTGAGCTCTCTGTTAGGCTAAGGCAGGAGGATTGCAAGTGTGTGCTCTGCCTGGGAAACTTAGGGAGATCCTTTCTCAAACAGAAACAGAAAGGGCCAGGGGTGTAGCTCAGTGTGAAGCCCTGGATTCACTCTCTAACACCAAACCAAACCAAACCAAACCAAACCAAACCAAACCAAACCAAACCAAACCAAACCAAACCACACTGAACCCAACCCAACCCAATTGTAGGTAAGGAAATGGAGGCTTGGAGAGTTCCGTGTGCCCCAAGTTATGGGGTGCTCTCAGTGCTACCCAACTTCATTGTTAGCCTACTGTCTATATTTTCATTCTTTAGAGGATCACTCCAGATTCATCATGATTGAAGACAACAAGGAGAACAAAGAGTATTCCTTGGAAAGGGGAAGAGCAACTCTCATATTTTCCTTAAAGAATGAAGTTGGAGGACTTATAAGAGCACTGAAAATTTTCCAGGTGAGCGTTCTTCATACATCTGCATAAAACTGTTCTAGGGATGAGTGCCACACAGGTATGTTTAAAATCCAAAGGATTGTAAATTCTTCTGGTAGGTTATAGGAATTTCTTAAGAGCTTATGTTTTTAAAATACTACTCAATTCTAACAAGTTGGTCAAGAGATTTAGACAATTCCTGGTAGAGTAGAAACAGCTAATAATCAAATGGAGGGAGGATATTCACTTCATAGATTTCAGAGAAGAAAATTTTATTTTACTTAAAGTATTAAAATGAATGATATACTTAATCCTATATATTAATTATTTGATGATATTTAATGGAATATTAAAATATTAAACAATATTTTTCTGATGACAGAGATTCTATAATTACACTCTTCTGCTATTAGAGTTTCAATGTATTTAGTCTTCAAATATACCCTCAGTGTACTTAAAGATAAATGGAGGATAAATTGGTCTGTATAATGTAGGCAAACTATCTGGTAATATGTATTTGTGACTCTTAAAACGTTCATATTTTCTGACCCAGTAATTCCATTTTCATGGTCTGTTTTAAGAAAATATGTTGTTCCAGCAGAACATGAATGTTTACTGAGTACTTCCTATGTGCCAGGTGCTGTGCTAGATACTAAGGATGTGGAGCTGAACAAAGTGAGCACAGTGCCTGCCCTCAAAGAGTATATAATCCAGTGGTGAAGATATCAGACAAATAGAGTATTTAAAGAGGCACATATGTATAAAGTGCCTCAAAAGTACAAGGTGACAGAACTGAGCGGGGGGACCTAAGCTAGTTTGAGGGCTCAGGGACACAAAAGATTCATTTGTAGGAACTGAAAATTATCACAAACTGCTTGTCCTGAGGTAGGGGATAGGTTGAATTATGCTGCTAGAACACTGCGGTTCTAGTTAAGCTTGTGGGCCCTACCAGCAGAGCAGCTGAGTTCCCAGCCTTTCTGTCACTTATTAGCTGGGTGGTCATAGGTGAATTAATGAACCTCTTTCCTTTTCCCCATAAAATGAGAGAAGCCCTAGCTACCCTACAGTGTCATCGTAAGAACTAATAGAATTAATATATTTAAGATGCTTATGATAGTACCAAGTAAATGAACAATAGAAGTTAAGCATGTTTAAAAATCAAGTTTAATCTGTCTGACATACTATTATATCGCTATTTGAAAATAATAATGCAAAGAATTAAAAAACTTACATATACAAATAATCTAGGAGAGTCTGGGATGCAAAATATCAGACTTGTTACCATCCTCAGGTCCATTCTCTAGAGGAAACTTTTAAAAAACTATTCCTTTTCTTTAGCTCATTGGTGGTGTATTATAAAATGTAAATATTGCTCTCATATCTCTCTGATTATGAATTTTACATGACATTTGTTTGTTCCTTATAAACAGTGATATTAATAGTGTCTTTCTTTCTTTCCCTTTCCTCTCCAGATTTGATAATTATGTTACTTTTAGTGTGTTGACTACCTTTGGGTTTTAAAATAATTTACCTATTTCCTTCTCCCCTCAGCTTTCATTTTTATTTTATTGTTATTCTATAAAATAGAATATTTTATATTCTAAAGTACACATAAAATAAGACAGTGTGCATATCAAACATATTACAGCAGGTGTCTACCAGACGAGAGAGATTGAGGTTGGAACAATAAAATAAGACAGGAAGAGACTGCATAAATCAGTGGAGGCAGTGCACAATTTATTTATTGTTATTTCATTTTTATTTTATTGTTATTCAAAGGATATTTGTGCATGGTTTAGAAAGCCAACCCATACTGTAAAACTTACCAAGAAAACAGCAACCTTCTGCTCCATCTATCTTCATTCCTAAGATTTGTTTAATTTTTTTGATAACCATAGGTGCAGAGGGTCGAGTTAATCATACTCATTAAATCACATGTGCAGAGGCTGGGGATTTAGCTCAGCGGCACAGCGCCTGCCTGGCAAGTGCAAGGTCGTGAGTTCAAGTCCCAGTACCAGAAAAAAAAAAAAAACCAGAAAAACTAAATCAATGTGCACTGCCTCCATGGATTTATGCAGTCTCTTCCTGTCTTATTATATTGTTCCAATCTCAGTCTCTCTCTTCTGATAGACACCTGCTGTAATATGTTTGATATGTACACTGTCTTATTTTATGTGTACTTTAGAATATAAAATATTTATGTGTGCATATAGTATTAGTAACATATATAAATGTTATGGTGCTGTAGACATTTTTCCTGTTCAACTCTGTGTTTTTGCAACTCACCCATACTGCCGCAGGTACACCTCTTTCATTCTTTTGACTGCTGCCTGGGGTTCTAGAGAACATCCTTCCACTTTACTTACTTTCAATCTAAAGGAAGCAGTCATTTTAAGCTCTTTAAATTATTTTGCTAAGGGCTGGCAATATAGCTCAGTGGCACAAGCGCCTACCTGGCAAGTGCAAGGTCCTGAGTTTGATTCCTGGTACCGCTCTCCCCTCCAAAAAAATTATTTTGCTAATATTTTACCCACACTTGTTTTGCTTCTATTTCTTGTTTGTTTTCAATTGTAAGTGTTACCTACTGATTACTTCAATGGAAGTAAAGGTCTAGATTTCTTTATGCAGCTCCCTTTTCAGATGCCTCCTTAACTTCCCTCCTCTCATTGCGCAAGGCACTTGAGAAATTTTCTTAATGTTCTTATGCCCCGTTTTTGTCTATGTCAAGGTTTAGTGTTTTCATTAAGCTTACATAAATATTGTTTGAAGAAGAACTGCGTTGTCCACTATTATGATGCCTCCCTTCTTGTACATCGGGATTGCAGCATACTGTTTGAAGATAGGCTTGAATTCCAGTTTTGACAGCTATTAGCTGTGTGCCTTTGGGCTAACTGCCTAACCTCATGTGCTTCTGTTTCTGTAATTAAAATAACTTATGGGTAATGTCTCACTTATGATTCCTACTTTATCTGGATTTTCTTGACTATATCTTTCTTCCAAATCAACTTAGAAATTATTTAATCACATTTCCTCACCAAAACCCATTGAGATTCTGGTGGTGTTCAGCTTATGTATTAATTTAGGAAGAATTAATTTTTCATCTTTTTCCCAATACGTAGGGCTTAGCTTTGTATATACTCATCATCATTTAGAAAATATTTATGAATATATTACTGTAGAAAACCCATAAGGAATAGATGAAATGAAGTTCTCCTTTACTCCTAACCAGTTCCACTCTATTTTGTAACTGGCTTTTTCCTACTAATTTTATGATGAATTCTATGCACCTTGATAAACTCTGCCTATTCCAGTGTCCTAACATCCCCTGATACTCTTCTTTCTCAGCTCATCCCTCTCTTTGCTTGTATAGTTTCTTCCATTCAGAATCCCTCCTTCTTTCCTTCTTCCTATTCTATCTGTCCTTTAAGATTTATTTCAACTCCCAGCTTTTCCATGAAACTTTCTGTTCTCTTTAATTGATGACATTTTTTTTTCTCTTTGCTGAACACCCCTGCATCTGAACATACACTACTTGTATTTTCTTTGCCTTTCTCATATTGACCAACTAAACTATAGATCCTTTGTCTGTCCTGCCCTCCTTTTTACTCTTTGCAGCACTTACCTAACTGCAAAACTGTTTACTAAGTTATTCTAGGATGAGCTGGTTAGTGTTGGAGATTATCTTCTCTAATGCTCATATTTTAGGTGAAAAACTGTTGGGTGATTGGTTCTCATGTTTCATTATTATGTCCCTGGTTCTTTTTTCTCAGTACCTGTTACGGTTTTTATCTAGATGTCCCTGCAAAGCCTCATTCAGTCATAGCTAGGGCTTTTTGGAGGTGGTTGGGTCTAGGGTGTGTCGTTCTGGGATTAAGTGTGTGGTGCTGGGGTTAACTGTGTGATTCTTGGGTTAAGTGTGTGGTGCTGGGGTTAAGGGTGCCCCACCCTGGGTGTGAGTGCTCCCCATCCTAACGGCAGGTAGTCTAAGTGGAATATAAGGGACAGAAAGAGGGTTGCTGCTGTCGCTTGCTGCTTCACTGCCTTGCTGCCTTCTGCCTGCCCCGCTTTGCTGTGGACTGTTCCTCCTGTGTGTCCCTTTGCTATAACTTCCTGCCTTGGAGCCATCTGAGTATGGACTGAAACATCTACAAATTGTGAGCCCAAATAAATCTTTCTAGCTTTTAACTTCGGGCGTTGGGCATTTTGTCTTAGCAACAAGAAAAGTAACCAAGATAGTTCCTAAACTGGTAGGAGAACATACTCTCCTCCCCCGCGTCTGTGTGTATGGTACCCACAGCTCAGGTGGCAGTGGAAAAGGATTGGAAGAAGCAGTCTGGCTCAGCTCGCTACAAAGTTTATGGGTATTAAGTACTCTGTATTCATGCTGTTCATTTCATTTTATTGAATGTACTTTTGCAGAGGAAACTTTATTTCACAAGGAGGAACAATATCACTTTCTGCAAACTAATTTTATTTGTGAGGATTTTCCAAAAATTCTTTTTATCCAGGAGACCTGGTGCTTTGATTTGAATTCCAATTACTTCTCACTATCTGGAAAACCTCTAGTAGGTGTTACATTTTTGGCCTTTAAGGAGTATGATGGATTTTGCAGACTTTTATTGCACAGTACATAATATTTGAGGGGAAATTATTTTGCTGTTGGCAGATCTAAAAACATCCTTTTCCCCTTTGGGTTATTATAATATGTGTGAAATTGGATTTTTTTGTTTTTGTTTTTGTCTTTTTTTTTTGGTTTTTCTCTGGTACCGGGAACCGAACTCACGACCTTGCGCTTGCCAGGCAGGCGCTTTGCCGCTGAGCTAAATCCCCAGCCCCTGAAATTGGATTTTGATGGTAATGAAAATGATTTTCTCAAAGACTATGCATATTTCAGACAGTTACATGTATTACCTCCCTCTGGTACACAGGAGAAGCATGTGAACCTGTTACATATTGAGTCCCGAAAATCAAAGAGAAGAAATTCAGAATTTGAGATTTTTATTGACTGTGATATCAACAGAGAGCAACTGAATGATATTTTTCATCTGCTAAAGTCTCATGCTAATGTTCTTTCTGTGAACCCACCAGATAATTTTACCGTGAAGGAAGATGGTAAGTTTGAAAAGTGAAAATGCTACTTAGAAGATTAAGTACCTATGTAAGTCCAATCTTACGTTCATCTTGAAGACATGAAGATAAAAATAAAACACTGTCTTTTCAAAGTTCTTATGATCCAGTAGTGAAGGAAACATGAAGTATTATTTTTCAAAATACTAAAGAAAAATTATAAAGCAACATTCAGTTAAGGGTGAGAACCTGGTGTGGTGGCTCATGCCTATAATCCCAGCCAGCACTCGGGAGGCTGAGGCAGGATGATCACTGTGAGTTTGAGGCTAGCATCAGCTACAAAGTGAGTTCAAGGCCAGCCTGAAGTGCATAGTGAAACCCTGTCTTAAAAAAACAAAAAAAAAAAAAAAAAAAAAAGGGTGAGAAAAGTGAAAAGGAAACCTTGAGTATAAGGAAGAGTCAAATGGTTACAAATTAATTACCTTGGAATTATTGAATCATCAAGCATTTCTTGATTCCACAGACCTTCAGTTCACACTCCCTGAGCTCTCAGTAACTCTCTCAGTTCTTAGCATCTATTGAATGAATATTTAAATTTATTGAGAACGTTGACAAAGTCTGACAACTGTGAGGTGAAATACATTATGCACAACATTCCCGCCAAAAGCAAGAGAAAGCAGCAAAGCCTTCTAAGGTTTCGGATACTCAGCAAAGATGGGGTTGAAGATCTCCATTAGTGACAACAATCCTTGTAGTTTATTCGAGACACAAGGACAAATAGATAATTCAGCTACATTTTATATATGGTCCTCAATCTGCAATAATCTCTTCAGATTATGTCACATTATCTGGAGTATAATCAGGGCTAATATTTACCTGTGGTATATTTGTACAGTTGTATAATTATTAAAATATTGGTATACTTCCACTTTGGCTGTCAGGGAGCTGGTTTCCTGAATTGCTTCCCATCATACTTGAAGCCTCCGTTGCTCCAGATTTCCACCTAGAACCCTCTTGCCCACTGTTAACAAAGAAGGGCTACACCTGGTGGAGTGGGAGTCATGCACTTGGCTGGTGTCTATTTTGCGTGATCAGCTCCCTTGTTGTATTTGTTGCTAAATCTCTTGACTATCCCTCCTGGATAAAGGAGAGCAATGCACTGGAGCAAGCATTAAGTTCTAGTCCTCTTTTTTTCCACTGAAAATGGAAACAAGTTAGCTTGGGTAGATTACTTTACCTCTCTGGAGTTTGGTTACCTCATCTATAACATCCAGAGTTTTGTTGATGGCTAGCTGATTCAGTTGACATTTAGAGAATGCCAACACATGTTAGATATTTCTACTAAGAACTAAAAATACAAAATATACAGTCCCTACCCTAAGTCATTCCCAGTCATGTGAGAAAGACAGATATAATAAAGCACAGTAAAAATGTCTAGAGCTGCAAACATGGTGTCACAAAAACCTAGAGAAAATTGTCTCTTCCTACAGAAGAGATAATTTCTTTACAGAATGAGAAGGTCTTATTAGATTTGGGACTTCAAGGATGAGGAAGATGTTCTCAGGAAGACAGAAAGGTGGGGTGGGGTGGGGGAGTGGGACAGGTATTCCAGGTAGAAGAAGAACATACGCAAAATCCCAGAGTCTCATGCCTATCAGAGGAATGGTGAGATGAAGGTGGCAAAGACATTAATGAATTTCTAAGATTTCTTATCAACAAAAATAGATATTCAGAGTTCTTATTAAACCTGCACCTTGGTTTGTAAAGTTGTACATCATTATTCTGCTTTTGTAGGATAGCTAAATATGTGGCATAAAACATTTTAAAAACTTTTGGTCTGTAGTAAAGTACAGCACCTCTCCCACACTTGAGAAATCAATCTGAAGACTCAAAAATGTTTTAAAGCTAAACAATTTTCAATACAATTTAAAAATTCTTAGAATTAGAGTGGATTACTTAACTTATATAAATGTTGCTTCCATATACCAGCTAAAAATCTCATCCAAATGTTAATACAATAATTATTCAGAACTAATCACAATTAATTATTATAATAAGTATCAATAATAATTTCAGAAATTATTAAGAAATAATAATTTCTTAATTTCTTCTTTGTTAGTGTCTTATTTAATGTCATCTTTTCAACATTTAGTGGGTTTTTGTATTTGACAGGTATGGAAACTGTTCCTTGGTTTCCAAAGAAGATCTCTGACCTAGACTTGTGTGCTACCAGAGTTCTGATGTATGGGTCTGAACTTGATGCAGATCATCCTGTAAGTGTTTCTTTAATAAATGGCTTAATGAAAATCATTCAAAGCAAACTAAAAATTAAAGGCAACTTTTTAAATAAAGTATGTTTTCTAGACTAAATAGTATTTTCTTTTAATCTAGAGCTCAGAAAATGTTAGGCTTCCACACTGTTGGAATTGAGACTAACTGCTTGAAAACCGTGTAATATCATTGGCTCCAAAACATCTGCACCCCCATGCAAGCATTGATATTTATTCCAAGTGTTATACAGTTTTTTAGTGTCTATAGTTAGTTCTTATTAAAATGAGTATTAGTTATTGGAAAGCAGAATAAAGAGAAAGATTTTCTATCTATGTTGCCCAGAATGATTTTCTATCCATGTTGCCCAGGTTGATCAGGCAGTTGATGAACTAGGAAGTTGTTTCTTTGGAAAACTGTACAGTACAGAAAAGATCTGGAGAAGTAGTCAACCTAGAGCATTAGTAAATCCAGAGCATTAGACTTGCTTATGGAAGATTGAGGTTCCTGAAAGGGGAGGAGAGGAGAGAGTACAATTAATGCAGTTTCACAGACCAGGGCTTTAATCTAGCTTCTCCCACTCATTCCCTCTGTGAATGTGACCTTATACTGCTCGAGACAGCTTCCAGATGATTCACCCAATATTTTATAATCTTATTGAGTAAATTTTGCAACGAAATGCAGTACTTTCCCTCAAGGAACTTCTTAGTCTAGTTGAAAACCTGGAGTACACATATATAAACATATGGAGATAAAATGTAAAAAATGTGTGAAATGACATTAATTCATTGCTTTAAAGAATACACAAAAGAGCAAACACTCCTAGTTAAAGAGATCAGAGAGAGGCAGAATTTCAACTGGACTTTTCACCTGGGCTTTCAGAGATTCCATGAGGTAAGTGATGGAGAAATAGGACAACGAGGTGGGGAACAATATGAGCAGAGATTCAGGGGAGAGAAATCAGGAACATGTTTACAAAGGGGTTAGTACATCAGTTTTACTGCTCTACTACCAAATTCTGGCGATTTTCACCTCCTATTCCTCAAATTTCTTCCTGATTTATCTCCACTTCCACATCCCTTAACTGGTTTTCCTGTCTGCAGCCTTTCCATCTCCAGACCCATCCTCATAGTCACTAGAATGATCTAAAATCTCAATGTGACCACTGTCTCTCTTCTCTCCTAACAGTCACCAGTGGCTCCTAGGAATATACCTGAGAGAATTAAAAACATATGTTCAAAAATCTGTGTGCAAATGTTCCCATTAGTATTAGTCCTAATAGCAAAGGAGTAGAAAGAACCCAAATATCCATCAAGCAATAAATGGATAAAGTATTGTGTATCCCTACAATAGAATAGTATTGGCCATAAAAAGACACGGAATTCTGATACATGCTACAACATGGATGAACCTCCAGAAAAGCTGGTCACAGAAGGCTTCATATTATTTGACTCTTTTTATATCACTCCTTTCTGGAGTGTCCAGAATAGGCAAATTCATAGAAACAGAAAATAGATAACTGTGTTCTGGGGGCTGAGATTGGAAAAAAATGGGTGTGTGTGAATGCTAATAAGTGTAATTTTTTTTTGGAGTGACAAAAGTTTTCTGAAATTAGAAAGTAGGGAGAGTTGTTAATTTCTTTGAAAGTACTGATGAATGTTTTTTTAAATTAAAATATAGTTCATTGAAGGTAACAGTGTTTATATTGTTTGATCAATCTTTCATGCCTGTATCTGATAATCTGAGCAACTACTTTGAAGATAACAATATGCAATATAATGAGCATTGTTAATTTCCTACCATCTTGTTTTGAAATTCTGTGTTATTTTTACTGCTTTTTTATTATATTTAAAATAAAAAATGAAAAAACAAAATGTATTTATTTTTGCTCTTTTTTATTTTATTTTAGTTTATTAGGAAATGGGTGTGGTATATAATGTTTACATTCCTTGTGGGCAATGGTGCGGGTGCATACCACATCTCAATTCCTTTTTTCATCCCCTTTCCCTTCCCTCCTTCTCATTTCTGCCTATCTCTTGATCCCCTTCCATTTTTTGGTACACGTTTGCAGTGCATACTGATTACATTCTTTGTGTGGCACTGGTACATACATATCTCAGTTCCTTTTGTTCATCCCCTATCCCTCCCCTTCCCTCTGTCTCTTGATCCCCTTCCCCTTTGAGAAAGACCTATCTCCCTGCTTTCTATTATCTATCTTTTATTTTGCTCTTTATTTTAACTCTGGGTTTCTCATATAAGAGAAGCCATATAGTATTAAGCTTGTCTGTCTGATTTATTTCACTTAACATTATGGTCTCAGGTGCATCCATTTTCCTACAAATGACTCAGTGTTTTCTCTTACAGCAGAGTAGCATATTCCATTGTGTGTAAATGCCACATTTTCTTTATCCATTCTTGTTGATAGTCGTATAGGCTGCTTCCAGGATTTAGCTGTTATGAATTGGGCTGCTATAACATGGGTATATGTGTATCACTATAATATGATGTTTTAACTCTTTTGGAAGCGGTCCAAAATGTCATTTTATGGCATGTGAATTATATCTCAATAAAATTGTTACTTAAAAAAAAATCCATCAGTGTAATCCCATGTCCAAGGTTAAAATCCAAGGTCTATATCAGATCTGTAACCTCCAGGCCCCTAACTACCCTCCAAGCACACCCCACCCACCCTCCAAGCTCCATGAGCTTTGGGGTTCTTGTATCTTCTTAGGCACAACATGCTGTTTTTCATCTCTGTGCTGTTGTTGATGCTGCTGTGTTTGTCCTCTTCTGTCTAACGATCTGCACTCCCCTTCTGAGGCTTAGCTCAGGAGTCACCACTGGGGCAGCCTTTCCTGAGCATCCTGTCCTGTTTTGCACTCTGGGTTATGAGGGCCTCTTTTCAGTTTTCATGGCATTCTGTGAACAGCTGTGAAATCTGCTAAGGTGCGTTCATGCTTATAGAATAACTGGCTCGTGTAAATTCCTTGAAGCCCCAATTAAGCTTTGTTCATTTTTATTTCTCCAGGGTTTTTAGCACAGGGCCAGCTGCATAGTGGGGACTCACAAAATGTGTTGAGATGAGACCCATTCTCTCTTTTCAGAATCCTCCTCTTTCCTGTTATTTTGCACTGTTGGCTATCTGTTTGTAGACTTGGACTTTTGATTCCTTATTCTACTTTTTTCTTAAATATTTTTCAAAAATATCAATTCTAACAACTGTTTCTTCTGTTTTTGTATTACTGCCACTATTTGGTTCTACATTTTGTGGCAAAATTAAGGCTAGATTCAGTTGTCATTATTTTCAATTTTATTAATTACTATTATTAGTATTGCTATATTTTATGGGGTTGGAGATCAAACCCAGGGCCTCAGATGTGCTAGGCAAGGGCTCTTCCACTGAGCTATAACCCCAGCCCTAATTTTATTATTAATTGCTACCACAGGTATCTATAACTAAAGATGCGATTGAATGATTAAAGAAAAAAATACAAAAACTCACCCTTGGACAGGGCCATCTATTTAACTAGGGCGGTGCTTTCCCTATTCTTCAAACTGTCCTTGTAGTCACTATAGTATCTTTATATATATTTACTTTTGTAACCAGCAGAGTGTAAAGCTGTTATATAACATTGACTTCAAAATAAAAAAAGATCATAAGCCTCAAACAACACTTGCTCATAGTAACAATTATGTAGTCCTATAATATAATATGTCCAGTAAAAACAATGAAATGTTTCCTAAATATCACCTTTCAAATATTTTTTAGTGTGAATATTTAAAAACTTATGTTTCATTATCAGGGCTTCAAAGACAATGTGTACCGTAAAAGACGAAAGTATTTTGCAGAGTTGGCTATGAACTATAAACAGTAAGTATATTATAGGTGGTAAAATATCCAACCTTGAGATCATTAAATAAATCAACAGAGCAAATTGTGTTAATTTTGTAAGTAGAAAGTCGATGCTACTGGGCCCTGACTACTAATTCAGAATAATTCCTCCCTTTCTCCCCTTAGCGGAGACCCCATTCCCAAGGTTGAATTTACTGAAGAAGAGATTAATACCTGGGGCACCGTTTTCCGAGAGCTCAACAAACTCTACCCAACCCATGCCTGCAAAGAGTACCTCAAAAACTTACCTTTGCTTTCTAAATATTGTGGCTATCGGGAAGATAATATTCCACAACTGGAAGATGTCTCAAACTTTTTAAAAGGTATCAAGCTAATTGATTTTTGTAAGGAGAGTGTTGAACTGTCTTGATCATGACAGCGTGTTTAGCGGAGGAATAACATCTAGTTATGTAGGAGTTGAGAACTTTCTTGCACCGTGTCCTGGTGTGTTGCAGTCTGGATTTGGCTCTGCGTTGGAAGAGAGCTAATCATAATCTGGAGCAAGAGGGGAGCAAAGTGATCAGAGCTGTAAGGGAATTTTGAAAATTTATCAATAGTACAATTTGAAAGGTGTTGAAGGTAGCATTTTAGGAGACATTCATTGAATATTTGAAAGCCATTGTACGCAGTAGAGGTAATTGTATTGGGTAGGGATTGTAAGCTTCCACACAAAGTGGAGAGTATCTGGTTAAATGAAAATGTGAGAGGCTCCTGAGGCTAGTCAGCTGCCCATCCGCAGAGGTGCCCTGCAAAATGCCACCCCCACTGTCAAAGCTATGGTACAGGGAATCCAGGCATCTTATGGAAGAAGGGTGGCCTAGAGGCACTCTGAAGCTCCTGTCTGCATTAAGATTCTATAGTTTTCATAAGAAAGATGTGCAAATAGAAGCATAAACAAAGGGGAAATTTATTCAACAAGTTTATCACAAAAAATTTATTCTTCTAATTTTTCAAACTCATTTGGTCCAGGCCTCTTTACTTTTTCTAGCTATGGAAAGTAAAATGAGCAGTGATCTCCAGGGTCAAATGGAATTTATGAAAAATTATCTGCTGTTATTGCAGAAGATTGGAGACCTTAGTATAAAAAAGAAGTTATGTTTTTGACTGAAAGGGTTTGCTTTCTTTTTGTTCTCTTTCTTCGCTTCTTTTTAGTTTCTCTTCATCTTGGTTGAAGTTACCCTTGAACAATGAGAGTTAAGGTGTTGAATGGACAAAAATCTAGGTGTCTATTCAACACCTTAACTTTCATTATTCAAAAACTACATACAAAACTAAAAATAACTGAACAAGAAAGGGCAGTATTTTTTTTTCTACATGGGAAGAAATATTATTAGTGGTTGCTACAAAAACTAGGCTTTTAAAACATAGTACAATGCGCATGACCTTAGTTAGGCTTACATAGTTTGGCAACTCTGTGCTACAGGAGCTTTTGTAAAATCAAATTTGCAAGAGATTTGGAGGCTAAGATACAAAATGAAAGCTGTTATCTGGAACCTGGGCTGGCTGCAGAATATGTTTGCTGAAGGTGTTTCAAGGGCAGGTATCAAAGAGAAATACCAAAATTAAAAGACAACTCAAAGAAAACATCAGGTAGAAGATATAATACTTATACTTCCAAATGTGGAAGCCATTAGGCGCATGTGGTTGTTTAAATTCTAAATAATTAAAATGAACTGAAGTTAAAATGTCAGTTCCTCAGTTACACTAGCCACACGTTAAGTGTTTGGTAGCTACGTATGGCTAGTGGCTGCCTTACTGGACAGCATAGAACACAACATTTCTATCACTGTGGGAAGTTCTTGGACAGCGCTTTGCTTCTCAGAATGGGACCATCCCGTGACAAGGCACCAGGGTGGGATGGATGGAGTACCACGGTTGTGAGAGTTTGACGTGAAGGACAAGACTGGTGCTTACGCAGGTCCTCCAAGTCACTGACATCTAGTGGCAGATGCATTCCGCAGTATGTACAGCTTGCTAGCTGGGGAATGGCAGGATACTATCCAGTGTAGACAAAACAAAGAATCTGCCAAAGACAGTACTAGCTAAAAATGGCATTGATTAAAAAATAGTTCTGATCTAAAATAATTGGTCTTTTTACTGAGTATTTGTAAAAAGAAAGTGAGCGTAAGGAGACTGCAAGGTGCAAGACTAGGAGACTGGGCTCTCTGCTTACCTTTATTATTTACTGTGTGTCCTCAAGCGCATTATTGTCTCCGAGCTGTCACAATATGAAGAAAATCTTTAGCTCGTGCTGTATACATAGAAGGAGATGTGATTTGTAAAAGGTCTAACTCGTTGCCTGGCCACAATATGTGCTTCATAGTGATTGTTTCCCCTTAACACATACGATAAATTTTAGTTTCCATGTCCTCTATCAAAGTCTGTACATGTAATGAAGCTTTTTTGTTTGTTTTTTTTTTTTTTTCCCTCTGCCTTACAGAGCGCACAGGGTTTTCCATCCGTCCTGTGGCTGGCTACTTATCACCAAGAGATTTCCTATCAGGTTTAGCCTTTCGAGTTTTTCACTGCACTCAATATGTGAGACACAGTTCAGATCCCCTCTATACCCCAGAGCCGTAAGTTACATGTCAGTCATTCATTCATCAAGCGGTTATTTATCATAATGGTGTCGGGCTGGGAAGGTAGCTCAGTGGCACAGTGCCTGCCTAGCAATGGCAAAGTCCTGAGTTTGATTCCCAGTACCAAAAAAAAAAAAAAATTACAATAATGGTATCCACTTCATGTTTTTTTTAAAGAATTAAATGAATTAACACATGTGAACCATTTAGAACAGTATCTGCCTCATAGTATATGTCCCAACAATAAGGCATTATTTGTATTATTAATCAACAGCCCATTCAGTGCCAGGTGCTCATATAGCTCAAACTTCAATGGGGAATATGAATAATAAATAACTATATATAAAAATAACTATATATAGTTATATATTATATTATATATAACTATATATAACAAATATACCTATACATATAACTATATATTATATTATATTTTATATAACAATATATATAATATATATATATATATATATATATATATATATATATGTCAGAGGTGCGTGCCATGATGAAAAACAAAGCTGAAAAAGGGGATGCAGATGTGTATGTGGGTGTCACTGTTATGTGAAGGGTGATCAGAAAGGGCCTTGCTGAGAAAGTGACATTTGAATAGGGGCCTGATTGGGGTGGGGCCTGGGGCATGGGCATGTCTTTGGATATCTGACATATAAGTGTGTGCCTGGGGCCGGGGATATAGCTCAGTGGCATAAGTACCTGCTTGGCAAGCGCAAGGTCCTGAGTTTGATTCCCGGTACCAAAAAAAAAAGTGTGTGTCTGTAAGTGGCCAAGATTTTGAACCTCAATCATTTCTTTATTTGGTTAGTGTCCTCTGGGATTCATTACTACCTGATCAGCTAGAGTAAGCATGAGGTTGGGTTTTGATTTGATTGAACGATTATGCATTTATGCTAAGCATCACAGTATGACAAACTTGTTCCTCTATTTCAGAGATACCTGCCATGAACTCTTAGGTCATGTTCCACTCTTGGCTGAACCAAGTTTTGCTCAATTCTCCCAAGAAATTGGTCTGGCTTCGCTTGGAGCTTCAGAGGAGACTGTTCAAAAGCTGGCAACGGTATAAATCTGGGAAAAGCCATATAGTGCAGTAATTCTTGGCTGGGTACAAAGTATGAGTATTTGTGTAGTTTAAAATTTCATATCAAAGGCAACAGTTAGAAAAGTTGTCTTACATTTAACTTAATTAAAATAAGATGTATGATTGCAAGGGTCCTCAAAAAGAAATATGAGCTTTAAAAAATAGAGAAATTTTAATGCTACTAGTTTGTAGACTTTCTGTTTTCCAATGAAAGTGATAAGCTCCAGAAAGTTATGCTAAAAACATTTTGAGCTCTAGGTACAGAACACTGTTCTGGAAACAGAAAGATGACTTAAGTTTTGGTTCCTGTCTTTAAGAAGCTTATATACTACCTGAGGATTCAGTCATATTCAAATGGGATAAAGACTATAGGGCAGTTTGGGAGTGCAGAGAATTTTGGGGGAAGTTTTCACAGAAAAGGGACCTCTGTACTAACTGATGGAAGTGAATACTGTAGTATTCTCATGTTCCAAGAAAGGAAGGAAGAACATCTGAGGACGAGGGTATACAAGGAAAAACCAGGAGGTACTAGGTGAGCCCGGGGAGTGACAAGAAAGTGGATGTGGGGTGAAATAGGTTGGCTGATTGCTTTTTAAATTATGATTTGGGGGTCCTGAGGGCTTCCGAGATTTTTCACAGGGTCCTTGAGGTTAAAATCACAGATAAGTAAAAGATCCAGTCAAATGGAAAATGGGTTTTTAGCATAACAGATGGAGTTCATTGACAGAGTTCTGATCCACATTGTCCCTGAACTTTAAGAAACTCCTATGTGTTGAACGCTGGTATATTTCAAAGAAGAATATCTACATTTATCTGAAAAGGCTATTAAAATGCGCTACCCTTTTCCAGCTACATAACTGTGTGAAGCCAAATTTTCTTCATATCCTGTAACCAAAACAACATATTGCAGCAGGTTAAATACAGAAGCAGACACAACAATCCATCTGTCTTCTGGACAGACATAAAATAATGTCTAATCAGACATTTAAAAGATGTGTAATAATGTTGTTAATTTGCCTGATTTAGTCATTCCACATTGTGTACCCAGTATTTATACATGATTATACTTTGTCAAAAGAATTAAAATACAAAAGAGATGTTAATGATGTAAAGCAATGCTACTTCTATAAAAATGGCTTTTATAAGAATGTTTTTTATTTTACCATAAAATGGGTGTACTATATTAACAACTAATTAATATTTAAATTTTTCAGTTTTAATTTTTAATATGGTTAATATAGCTAGCTATAGCTTACACACACAAAAAAAGATTCTGGTAGTCCTCAGTAATTTTTAATTGTGTCTAAGAATCTTCAGAACAAGTTTGAGAGGTGCTGGTTAGAATGAGGCCAAACTCTGGAAAGACTTGTGATCCAGGTTGGGATTCTTGGGCTTTATTCTGGAGGTACTTTGTTTTGTTTTGTTTTTATTTTAAAAATAAAAGGAGGAAAATATTAACAGACAGACAACCTTTTACAAAATAGCAAAAGAACAGTACAGACAATACAGAGTTACAAACAAACTGGTAGGAAATTAACAATGCTTCTTGTATTACACATTGATATCTTCAAAGTGGTTTCTCATGAAAACAGATAGAGACATGCAATACTGATCAATCAAGGACTCATTGACAGTTTCTTTCAGCAAAGAAATAGAAGACAGTAGAACAGCTATGTTAACTATCCTCTATACACATACATACAAAATTTTTCCTTCTTTCCTTTCTTTTTTCCCACATCCCAGTTGCCCTTTACCCTTGAGTACTTTCCTATCATTTCACAATGTCTATCATACCTCCTAGTTTAAATTAAGTCTTTCAGGTTTTACACTAGTGAGACAATGCAGTGCTTGCACATGCAGGTCTGATTTATTTCACTTATGAGTGTGATCTCTAGTTGTGCCCATTTACCTATAAAGCCCTCCAGTTTATCTTTCTTTATAGCTGAGTAATATTCCATTATATAAAAGTACCATAATTTTCTTATCCAATCCTCGGTGGATGGACTTTTGGGTTGTTTCCACAATTTAGCAATTACACATTATGCTGCTATGAACATAGGTGCACATATATCACTGTGATATGATGTTTTTAGACTTTCTGGGAAAATACCCAGAAGGAGAATAGCTGGGTTGAATGGGACCTCTAGACCTAGTTTTCTGAGGAATCTCCAAACTGATTTCCACAGTGATTTCACCAGTCTGCATTCCCACCAGCAGTGGAGAAGGGTTCCTATTTCTTCACAGCCTCGCCAGCATTTGTTATTGGTTGATTTCTTAATGCTAGCCATTCTTACTGGGGTAAGGTGGAATCTCAGTGTTGTTTTAAGTTGCATTTCTTGAATGACTAATGATGTTGAACATTTTCTCATGTACTTGTTTGCCATTTGTATTTCCTTATCTGAGAAGTGTGCTAAAATTTTTTCAGGAGGTACTTTGGATCAGTGACTAAGAGTTGAAATTTGTTTTACACGGAATCATAGGGGATGTGAACTAATACTGATGTCTTTTTGCAGTGCTACTTTTTCACTGTGGAGTTTGGTTTGTGTAAGCAAGACGGGCAGCTAAGAGTCTTTGGTGCTGGCTTACTTTCTTCTATCAGTGAACTCAAAGTAAGAGCTTTAAATTTTTGCACATAACTTATCCACCTAATATAATGGCTATGACCTGAAGTAGTTTTTGTATTTGAACATGAGCCTCCTATGGAAAATACTTGGGGTGACAGTAAATGTTACTTTTAAAATTTTTTATTAGTACATGTTTGCAATGCATAATGATTACACTCTTCATGGGGAGCTGGCACATATACATAACATATCTTAATTCTTTCAGAAACGTTACTTAAAGACATTTTTCTTGGGGCCTAGCTGTAGGTGGGTCCCTGGGGGCGTGACCTGGAAGGGTACCCTTGTTCCTGGCTCCTCCCTCCTCCCCGCTTCTTAGCTGCCATGGGCCGAGCACCTTTTTCTCCATGTGCCTCTGCCTTGCCGTTTCTGTTTTGGAGCAAGCTGATAATGTACTAAAACTGTGAGCCAAAATAAACATTTCTTCCTTTAAAAAAAAGAAAGATTTTTCTCTATTTTCCAAGTTTTCTGAATACACACAATCTTCTAAACAAAAATGTTTTTGAAGCTTTTGCTTACAAAGACTTGCTGGTACTTCACCAGTTAATCATATCTGGGGCACTAGTAATAACTTCTGTACTTGCTGGGGATTTATTTGAGATTTGCTATTTACCCAGTGAATGAATGAACTTGTTTGTTGAGTAATGTCTGTGAGACACTGTCCAAGGTACTGTTTTGCTATCAAGGAGCCTGCCACCTAGTGGTAAGTATAAGTAAAGTATAGGAATAACTATACTCTTGGGTAGAAAGCAGGTGCCGCAATGCAGGAATAAGTAAATTTCCCGAGTGCCTCTGACATGAAGAAAAGAGTTAGGGTAAAGCCACAGAGATGATCTTGGGGCTTTTGTGAAGAATAGCAAGCCATTTTTTTTTGTTGAAGTAGAACGTAGATTAAATAGAGATGTAGGAAAGAAGCTTGAGGTTGTAGGTTGGAGCCCCTGGATAAGTAATAAGTGTAGAAGTGTACTACTCTGGCAGTTGTGTGATCTATGAAAATAGATAATATTCCCTGACCCACTGACTCTTTGTCCTCTAGCATGCACTTTCTGGACATGCCAAAGTAAAGCCCTTTGATCCCAAGATTACCTGCAAACAAGAATGTCTTATCACAACATTTCAAGATGTCTATTTTGTATCTGAAAGCTTTGAAGATGCAAAGGAGAAAATGAGGTAAAGCACATATTCTTCATTTTCTTCTGGAATAGTTAGGTCTAGCAATGGTAACAACCAGATGAGTTGAGAAATTGCTTTCTTCCCATTCCTTTCCATCAGAAAATTTAAGTTTAGTATTAAAAAAAGACTACATACACATTACAATTATAATATACACATTATAAAAAAAGACTATATACAAAAAGACTATATAACAATATGGAAAGTGACAAGAACCTAGAAGAGATGCAGATGAAAGATTATTCTGCATTTTATTCAAGAACAATTCATTTCAGCTGAGGGAACAGGGAAAGCTTAGCGGCATGTGAGAGATAGGTAGTATTTTAGATATGTTAAATTTTAGGCTGATAGTATTTTAAACTATTAATCAGCTAAGTATGTGATTAAGAAAGTAAGGGGGATATTGGAGGCAGACACACTTTTGAGGAGATTCTTGCAATACTTCTGGAGAAAATAAAAGCTTGAACTAAGATAGAGGTAGCAGGGAAAGGAAAGACTTCCTAAGCAGAATCAGCAAAACAATATTTGATGGAGGAGAGCCATGAGGTCACATAGTGAGGACAGGGATAGAAAGAGGTTGAAGACATGCTCTTTCATCTTCCAGAGATTTACTGTAGTTGGGGAGGTAGGCTTGCATAGAATAGAGTAATGATACCAGCAAGGCTTTCTCTGGCACATGTGGCACCTTTGTGCAAATCAGAAGTGGTCCCTTCTGGGTCAACCAGATGGACTGCAACCTGGATTTCATCCCTTACTTATATACAGTTATCCTGAGCTGCACAATTATCCCTAGGGGTCCTGAACATGATTTTCCTTGGAGTATTAAATGGAGGTTCAAATGGTGACTCGATAAAGGAGGCAGAACTTTGATGCTTGAAAGGGTAGAGGAGAGGAGGGTAGAGGATACCACTCTAAGTGGAAAGAAAATATGTTTTCTGGAGGCAGTGTTGTTCATGGCTCCTTGTGTGTATGTATATAGGTATATTTACAGTTACGTATGGCACAGCTGTGGAGTCTGTTAGTATGTGGCCAAGTTCCATTATGTATTCGTAAAGCTACTGTGGAAGGTATCCTTAGTGTAGTCAAGAGCTGTCTAGGGCTAGGGGGAGTAGCTCTGTGGTAGAGTGCTTGCCTGGCTTGTGTGAGGTTCAGGACTCAATTTCCAGCATTGCAGAAAAAGTGCATGAAATGCACACAGTAATACATTATTAAGAAAGGTATCTACAGGACCTTTCACTATTAATGTCAAGGTAGATGTATCAGTGCTACTTCAGGTTTTCCACCTGTTGGGTTCCAGGGGCTCTCTGCACATGCAGTAAGGAAATAGATCAGAATGTTGCACACATATCTAATAAAGATTTGTCTTTTGTCTCATATGTGAAATAGGTCTTCCGTCATTTGTTTTCATCAATGCTCCATCCTCAGAAATTGATGATCTCTTCTTTGTTTTCTTAAATAGAGAATTCACCAAAATAATCAAGCGTCCATTTGGGGTGAAGTATAATCCGTATACTCAGAGTGTTCAGATCCTGAAAGATGCCAAGAGCATAACCAGTGCCATGAGTGAGCTGCGGCATGACCTTGATGTCGTCAGTGATGCCCTCACTAAGGTCAGCAGGCAGCTGAGTATGTGACAGTCACCAGTCCTAATCCAGAAGGCGTTCGAGCACCAATGCAGAGCCTGTGGACCCACTGTTACTTTTCCTGAAGACCTGATTCTGAAGGGACAGGAGCTTCTGTCTGAACAATATTCTCTAATCTCACCCCTTAATGAATCACTGGTCTCTGAAAATGTGTAAAATGTGTACCTGGATACTCTATTCACCAGCTTTTTTTTTTTTTTTTTTTGATGTTTGCTTTTTGGTAACTGCTGTAGTGAAATATAATTTATATACGAGAAAATTCACTGACTATTTTTTTTTGAGACCAGGTCTTGTTATGTACCCTAGGCTGGCCTTGAGCTTGCAGTCCTCCTGCCTCAGTCTCTGACATAGCTGGGATTACAGATGCATTCCATCAAGCCCTACTGACCACTCATTTTCAATGGAGAAGTTGTTTGGCCCAGTGATTAGATTTAGTCTCAGCATAACTCTATTTTCTCCATCCTTACTGAGTAAATGTCTGTGCTACTTAGAAGGTTGGTGAGTGTTGTGAATTGACCCCATATTGTTATGAGTATCTCTTACTTATCACTGAATTTCTACCAAGCACGATCACATTCACTCACACATCTAAACTTAGGAGATGACAAGCTGTGTCTGCTGCTAGCATGAGTAATGAGGTCTTATGGAGAATGCTTAGCAGAGTGTAAATAGTCCAGGTTTAGGTGTAGTGTCTTATAGGGATATAGCAGTAGGTAAAACTGGAAAGGTTGGTTGGGGTGTAGTTCTTAAGATTAGGCTATGAATTTCACACTTGATTTTGTAGGCACTAGAAAGGTACATCCCAAGTGATCCTATTCCCTGAAACTCTTTCCTTTCTATGAGGTTGTATCATACTGGTTTTGTCCTAGATTATCTGTCGTATTCACGAGGCCAAGGGGACTTTGGTGGGGATAACCACCCCCAGGAGGCAGTGTTGTCAAAGGGAGAGTTCAGACTGAGACAGCAAAGAGAAGCACACAGTAAAAGTTGGAAAAACAAATGAGCACTTGATTTCTGAGGCCATAAATAGGAAGGCAAACAGTAACGGTAGAGGTGTGGGGAAAGGATGGAGGAAATGAAATGTCAGAAGTTTGTGAAGAAGAGTATTTTAGGTCTGAGCCCATAGATATGCAAGGGTTGCAAGGAGCAGTTTTTTATGTGGTGTCAGCTGGGTAGCATAAGGATAAGTAACTGTGTTACCTCTTCATTACTGTAACAAAATACCTGGAACAATCAAGTTACAGGGAAGAAGGATTTATTTTGGCTCACAGTTTTGGAGCTTTCAGTCAATCATTGGTTTGCCCTGTTGCTTTTAGGCCTGTGATGAGGGAGCAGATGGTGGGAACATCTGACAGAGGAAAACCATTCACCTTTTATTGGGGTAGGGGAGAGAGGGAGCAGGTCAGGGTCCCACAGTCTGTTCAAGGGCATGGCCTCAATGACCAGAGCTTCTCCTGCTAGACCCCACCTCTTGAAGTTTCCACCATTTGCCAGTAGCACCAAGCTGAGGACTAAGCCCTTAACACATGGGCCCCTGGAGGCTGTTCTGAATGCAACTATGGCAGCAGTTGCGCTATAAAGGATGAACCTGGACTCCCAGGGATGTGCTGGGCTTCATTAATTTTCTCCTTTTCCTCCACCATCCACTAAATACAGATGTTCCTCAAGTTTCTGTCTTTAGCGCTCTTCTTCTTGCTGTCTCTTCATGAGGATTGTCAAGCACACCTTTGATTTCAGTTTTAATTTTAGATTGTTCATATATTTGCAGTTTTAATTCTGACATCTTTCTTGAGTTTTTGCTTCTTTATTCCAGCTGCCTGCTAGTTACTTCCATCTGGATGTCCCATAAATCAGCCCAATGTTGTACGGCTTCGTGTGGCCCCACTCACATAGAATGAAATGAGTCATGCGGTGGCAAACCTGCCAAATATCAAATTCAACAGGTCCAGGGGCTGGGGATTTAGCTCAGCGGCAAAAGCGCCTGCCTGGCAAGCGCAAGGTCGTGAGTTCGGTTCCTGGTAACGGAGAAAAACCAAAAAAAAAAAAACCACAACAGGTCCAAAGGGGAGCTCAGAATCACTGGAACATTCACCCCATTTGCTTTCTCTCCCAGTGATCTAATTTCTGCTGGTGGTGTATTAAGGGTTATATTTCAGTTTGTTGTTGTCCTGGTTTAATCAGCTTCTTAAAAATCTCTGCCCTTATTTTAGTCAAATTGCACACCATTTAATACGCTTTAGTTCAAAGTGCCACTAGATTTTTCATCATTTAAGATTTCAAAATAAATTATAAGAATGTTTAAAAACCAAATTTCATTTCGTGTCATATAAGGAAGTAGAATTTGGAAGAGTAATTCATGCTATTTTAGATCTGTACTTATACATTTTAATAGCTAACAACTGTTAAGTATATGTTTGATAGTAAATAGATCCGTTAGCTAATCTAAATCATTTGAAATATTGATTCACTAGTTCATAGTTTGTCTACTTTGATGCAAGGAAATCTATTATAAGGAAGCCATAATAGATAGCAAATAGCAAATTATGCATGAACCGTCTGTTATTTTCATACAAATTTGATCATGGTGAAGAATCAGTTTGAATTTTAAAATGATGATATTTAAAAATGACTTTGTGACTGAAGAACATTAAAATAAATGCTATAGACTCAACCCTATATGTAACTCACGACTTCAGAACAATGGAAATATTTACTAATGGATTTCAGTTCTTTCTTCTAATCTGTGGATTTGTGATATTTGGTAAATTAGGAGTCCTGAGAGTCCTAGAATGTTATGTATGTCTTTGCCTTTAAATATATGTCTTCAAAGTCCCAAGGAATATGTTATAGTTACTCAAATATGAGTACTGTACAGAACTTAACCAAAATCTTGGTTCATTATTCACGGTTGTAGTCTCCTCTTGAATTTTTGAAGAAAACTCAAATGGTCACCATAATGTCTACATTTTTAAATCCTCATATTTTGTCATTTGGAGTTATATGAATACTAATGACATCTAAATGCAAAGAATTAATGTTAATTTTTAAGTTGGCTTCCAAGTTGGAAAAAAGAAAAAAACCCTGGGATTCTCTAAAGGAACATATAATACAGTCCATATTTTAATTTATAGGAAGTGGATAAAGATACTGTGACCGCTTTCTGTCTAGTTTTTGTCTTATCATGTAATATATATTTATAATTTGTAAGTTTGTTATTCAACTGTATAATAAAGATAAAAATCATTCTTTGAACAAGTATTTATTTTGTCAAATATACAATGAAACATTTAAATTTATATTAGCAACTTAATAGTTTAAAAACTCCACCATATCTTTATACTTCTTAAAAAATTTCTGGCTATGAGATATATACCTCAAAATTTCTGGCTATGAGATGTATACCTCAAAATTGTAACCACTTCCCAGGGTTCCTGGTACAGCCTCAGTCTCATGTTCCTGACCTGAAATATAAGCTAAGTCTACTGCACTGGGTTACAGGAGAAATTACATTTATTTTCTACATGTAAAGAATTGTTTGTGCAATCCTCTCCATATAATCTCTATTCATATAATCTCCTCAGAGATTCCCCATAGCTTCTGGATGAGTATATCTTCCTCCCAAGGAATATTAAAATATTTTCTGCCAGCTTTTCTAGTCATTTTTGATGACAGAATTGGTCAGCAGCTAGTTAATCTTCCTTTATTAAAAGCAGGCAGTATAAGTACTGTGGCATACAAAGATTTTCTTAGTCCAGTCAGAGATGGAGCCAATGAGAGGCCGCACTTTGGTCTCTGGGAGGATGGTCTAATTCCACTTCACCTCTTTCTCAGGGTGTAGTGCTTTAGGGTTCCGGTATGAAAACTATGAGCATTTTACCAGAACTGCTGCTTCTACTGGGCCCTGGACTCCTAGTTTTTTTACCTCCTTCACTCTCATCGCCTTCCTCCCCCAGCCCTGTAAAATCACTAAAATTATTGCTCAGTTTCTCATCTGCTGCTTTCAGCCAAGATTTCAGCCTCCAAGACATTGCTTGCTAATTAACAAGTGCTTCAAGGAGAAAAGTAGTGCCAAATATAATCTCCCAGCTTCCAGATGAGTGGTCCTTCAAGTTCCTGCTGCACTGATAGCTCTCCAGTGACTCGAAATAGATTTTAAAATATTTTCTGCCAGCTTTTCTAGTCATTTTTGGTGACAGAATTGGTCAGCAGCTAGCTAATCTTCCTTTATTAAAAGCAAAAACCTGACCTTGAAGTAAATCATTTAATTTCTTTGAGCCTCAGTTTTTTTCGTCTACAAAGTAATGCTCCTAATAATACACTAGTTATTATTAGGAGGATCAAATAAAATAATCAAATGGAAATGTTTCTTCATCTTTATAGTACAGAAAGATAGTCTGTGTGGCTCTGAGTACACTTTTTTTTGGTGGGTAGATGTGGCATCTGAAAGTGATTCTATCAAATAGTTTATATCTAGTTCCATTCAAGAACTGCAACTCACCCAGGCTGCCCATGGGAAGAACTAGTCAATGGCATGTACATAGTTGGAATAGTTATAGCATCTCAACATTTCTAAGAAATTGTATTAGGGGATATAACAATAGTATAACTGTAGGTTAGCTGAAGTACTGATGCCATGGGCATTCAAGTAGTGAAATCAGAAGACTGTATCCTCACAAACTATCAAAACTGATTCTACCAGGAGGTAGCTCCTCTTTGCTACCTGGATGAAATCTCAGCTCACACTTCCTTGATTTTGTTGCTCACTCACAGATAACCAGAAGTCCCTAGTCTCTTCTGATCTCTTTCTCTTTCTCACACCCCTTCCCACTCTTACCCTGTATTTAAAAAGTTCAGTCCTGTGTAAAAATTTAAAACATCCAACTCTTAGGTTAAAGTTTCCTCCTCTTCTTCTGAGAAAGCAATTCATTAATTGCTTTGTTTTTTTTTTTTACTCCTCTGACTCCTTCAGAATTGGGAGGAGAGGTGGTAGCAGGGGAGAGGTAAAGAGTAGAAAAGTTCTTTTTGGCCTGATACTATTGTGAGTTGGCATCTGAGTCTTCCTGTACTTGCTAAGTTTTTAATGCTGACTCACCTCTCGTGGGGGCTTTGGAAGGCAATCCCATACGATTTCTCAGGACCTCTTGATATGGGTAAATGGATCACTCTGACTGGGTTGTTGAATAGCCTCCCTCAGCCTCAGGAACCTAGCAGTCAACTGTCTGGGGGTGTCATCTCACTCTTCTAGAAATACCCTTGGACAGGGTCTAAGATCATCTCCTAGCTGATTTGTTCATGCGCTGGGCATGTTCACACGAACATTCTCTATCTTGAAAACCTCTGGTTGTTAAAAGCTCTGACTGTTAAAACCATAGCATCAATTTCTCTTTGCTCAACTATCATGAACTGAACAGCAGCCTGCTGGGGCCCCAATCTGGAGGGACACATACCAAGTTTTCTCAGCGGCCAGGTGCTGCCAGGTGCTTTCTTTGGATGCGAGATGGGCAGGACTCACAGCATACTGACAGCAGTGCTCAAATACCCTATCACAGTTCTCTCCCGGCCTCTCCAGCCTTTTTCTTAGACTGGAAACCACCACACTGATTACTAGCCACTTGCTTTGTGAGTTGTGCTTTGGCTGTTTTCCCCTCCACTTTACCCTGTGAGAGTAATTGTTCCTTACTGCCTTTGACTGAGTTCAGTCAAAACTGAGAGGGAAAGGGTCTCATTTTTATATCCCATTACACGTGCTTGAATAGAATCATCAGAGCAGAACTAACCTACCCGTAAAACATCAGCTTCTCTAGAGAGAAAGGCTGCTTTCCCTCCCTAAAGTTTATATATTTTCTAAGCATGATCATCGATGTTCTCAAGAAGCCACAGACTGGACAGATAAAAGCCAGGGGCTGCCCCCACGTGGTCTCACAGGCAGAAACACCGAGGGGTGGTAGGGTGCAAGAACCCGAAGGGCTGGGTAGGAGCTCACCTGAGACACTTCCCAGGAGCCCCAGGCATAACGGGGTGGAGAGGAGTAGAGGCCTGTGTCAGTAGAGGGTCCTGGAGCTACTGAATGTGCATTATCACCTTTAATGTGACTCCATTTGTTCCCAACTCCTAATTCTGTGCCCAGGATGCACTGCCATATTTTCCTTCAGAAAAATTGTACTCCTGCACCCCCGAGATCCTGTTCACTGGTGTCTGATACAAGCCATTTTATATGGAAAACTTTGCTGGGTGAAACTCATCCAGTGTTGACGATCAAAACTGGGACAGGCCATGCCCAAGCGCGGAAAGCTAGGATGCCGCCCTGCGAGTATAGACGCTAACCCTCCTGCGCCGCTCAGCGTCGCCGGGCGCCGAGGGCGACAACAGCGACGCAGGCAGTGCACTGGCTTACCAAAGCACACCGAAGCAGGCCGCGACGGATCCGCCTCGGACCCTGGCCAGGACCCTCCCCTCTCCTTCAGGGTCAGTTCCTAACGTCACCAAACTGTGACAACCATCCCTCCCCTGTCAGCCTCTCCCCGCTGTGGTCAGGCTCCGAGGAGATCACGTGGAGGAGCTCAGTCCATCATGAGCGTAATGCACTTGCATGGATTTATTACTAAAACTAAAGAGCCGAGGGAGGAGGGGAGGTCAAGCGGCCGGGCGCCCCAGGAGGCCCAGGCGGGGCGGCTACGAGCGCGCCTGCTGCACGGCTGCTCCGCGGCGGGGTTCTGTAGGGCTGCGACAGGATTCTGGGGGCGCGAGATGCGGCGACCTCCAACTGTCCGCGATCCCCTCTCAACCTCAGACTCTGACCCTTCCTGGCCCTAGCCTCACCCACGTGCCCGGGTCTAGGTGGCGCTTGCCTAGTCCCCGCACTGCCCCAGCCCCAATCGGCCCCCGCTCCGATCGGCCCCCGCTCTGCGCCCGCCCCGTGCCCCGTTCTGGCCCCGCCCACCCGCCCCCCGCCCCGCTCTGGCCGAGCTCCCGCGCGAGTCCCGCCCCGCCCCGCCCCGCCCTGTGTCGGCCCCTCCCGGAAGCGCCGCCAAGCTGTCCCGCATGGAGCGCCAGCCCAGCGCCTCTGAGGCCGCCCCCGCCGCGCCCGCGCTCTTCGCCTGGGTACGTGACTCCGCCCCCGGGCTCGCGCAGAACATGGGGGCGCGGGGACCCGCGAGCTCCGGGCCTGGGCGTGGGCGGCTCGGGGCTGGGCGACTGAGACCCGAACGTGGTCCTGCGTTGGCGGCCCGGGCTTGCGCTGGGAGGAGTGCCCGGGACGGAAGCGCCCTGGCGGCGGGCTGAGGGGCCTGCTGGCGGTGGGGTCCGCGCCGGAGGGGCTGCGGCGCTCGGGAGGAGCCTGCCCCCACGCAGGGCGACTGTTCCGCGGGAGCCCTGGGCTCGGGGAGCGCCGGGGAAGACAGCGTGGAGGGCTCGGCGGAGAGAGGCTCTCCGGGTCCCAGAACTCGTGGGGCCACCTGTGTCGCCCGCCTGCCGCGGCCTGGAGGATGGAGGCCCTGCCCCGGAGCCAGCGCTTGGCAGGAGCAGCCTTGGGCTTGAGGCCTGCGGCGTGTGGCCGCGCGGGGCGCAGACCCTGCAGATTTGCGGCCACTCTGCTGCGGCTGGATCTTGCTGGGGGCGTCGAGTCTGCGCCAGGGTGGATCTGACGCGAGCGTGGAGAGACGCAGCGCTGCCTTTACGTGTGTCTGGGAGAGGGGTTTGTGCACAGGCGTGTGTGGCAAGCGTGCACCGGAGCACGCAGATGTTGGGTCTTGCGGTTCTTCCGCGTAGGTATCACAAGTGTAATGACGTGTGTAATCTCTTAATGTCAGTCTCTGGCTGCAGCGTAAGCTGTAAGGGTTCGTCGTAAGGGTTCGTGCGGAGCCTGTCTTGTTCACAGCGCCTGGCTTAGTGCTGTCCCCAGGAAATACTTCTTGACTGAAGAATGAATGAATGAGTATCTCTCTGCCCCGTCACGTGTTAAGTGTCTGGGGAGGACACGAGAGTGAAAACGCTTGCGTTTAGGGAGGATGTCATTACAATCGGCATGAGTGACTGATTTTTGAAAAATGAATTGTCAGTGCATACCATGTACAGTACTTGTTGAATGTAAGGTTGCAGTTTGGGAGAGAGGCGTGGCCTGGCTGGCTGAGTCCTTTGAGGTGGCGCTTGAGCTGGGGAGGGAGTGGGGGATGGAAAGTGTGGTGTCTCTGGCTTTTTCCAGCCGGGAGACTGGCATCTGTGTGGACAGAGGAATCACCTGACAGAAAAGGCCTTTCAGATGTTGCCTTGAAGGTAGTGAAACAAATACTGTTCAGTCTCACCCTGCTGGGCTGTGCTGGGAGTCCAGTATGTTCCTCCTGCTGTATGATCTGTGTATTAGTTTGCTTGCGCACCCATAGCAAAATACAACAGACTGTAAGGATTAAACAACAGAAGGTTCTTTTCTTTTGGTTCTGGAAGCTGGAAGTTAAAGAGCATGGTGTCAGCCGTTTTGGTGTCTTCTGAGATCTTACGTGGCTTTTTCTTTGTGGGTGAACATCCCCAGTGTCTTTTCTTACAGTGAGACCAGATATATTGGTATAGGATCTCACTCGTTTGACCTCGTCATTTAACTTTTAAAAAAAAATTATTTTTATTTATTTTTTGTCATTTAACCTGAATTAGTCCTCCTTAAAGGCCCTGCCTTCATATACAGTCATAGTCTCGTTAGGAGCGTGTGTGTGTGTGTGTGTGTGTGTGTGTGTGTGTGTGTGTGAGAGAGAGTGATGTGTCTGGGGTGTTTAGAAAGGAGGCAAATACAGTTGTAATAGGTTATATTAAATTTTTGTTTCACTTTATCCTGGATTTAAGGTCCTTGCTGTATTACATAAATTGGCACCATAATTTGAACCCCAGAGTGCTCATGGTTCACTTTTCCCGCAGATGTTCAGCAGCCTGCAAGCCTGGTAATGGGGCAGCCACAGAGATCTCCAAGCTGACAAGAGAAATCCGTGTGTGTACACTCCACATGACAGTCTCTCACCTGACTTTCCTAGTGGGCATTCAGAGGGTCTTATAGTCACTTACTGTGTAGATAACATGCATATCTTTTCTGGGCCAGTACAGTGTCAAATGGAGGTGAAATAGTAAAACAAAGTTCCTGTTCACATGGGAGTTGATTTTCTAGTTGGGCAGGTAGTAAACAAATAACAGAAATACACTATGTAACGTCAAAGAATGATATGAAGAGCAGTAAAGCAGAAAAGGGTGATGGGTGCTATTTTAGATAGGGTCATACAGATGGCCAGCCTCTGCCAAGTGAGCTCTGGGGTGGGTCACCATTTAATTCTTTTTTTTGTAGACACAGTAGGTCTAGTGAAAGGAGCAAGACATTTGACTTGTTGCCTACCCAGCTATGTAACTATGGAAAGTTACTTAACCTTCCTAAGCCTTAGTTTCTTCATCTGTAAAATGAGAACCATATTGCCCTTCTCCTTAGTGTTGTGAGGATTAAAGCACCCAGCTTGGTAATTGGAACCTATGTTGGCCCTGGGATTTGTTCACTGCTGAAGAATACTCTGCTATTTGGTGTCTTCTCATTCCAAAAGGGTTGTGAAACAGACAATAGGAAGGAAGGATTTTGTTTATTAAGTATGTTTTGCATGCATTGTTTGTAGTTATTTTAAATCACTTCCTCATTCAGGTGTCTTCAAAAGCAAATGTACTTCAAAGGTTTTAGCAGTCGTCTGCAGAAAAAAACCAACTTGGAGTAAACACTTGAAAAAATTATGAGAATTTCTGAATTCTTCATAAGATTCTCCCTGCAGGGCCACAGTGTCTTATTTTTATCTCTGAATAAAAAAAGCTCTGAAAACCCAAAACTTACTGGATATAAGGCTATTTATATTCTCAGTCAACTGTTATATCTTTTACTGCAGAAATATTACCATTTTGCTTATGGGGGGCGTGCCCCCAGGACTTGCAGCAGTGTGTATCATCTGTAGTGTATAGATGATATATACTTACTACTGTTCTAAAACCTATAAAATTCTGAGCGTTGAATCTGTCTAGCTGCTGTGGTTTCAGATTAGGGATTACGGACTTTTATTGCATAATAACAGTAGGCATATTGCTTACCAAAGGGAGATGTGTTCTCTTATAGGAGTCTCACCATGTGAATCTTGAACTCATCAACTATTGTACTTGGAAAGGCCCTCAGAGTTCACTGCCAGCCTCTTTCAATGTACAAACGAAATAATGGTGCACTTTGCTTGAAGGCACAAAATCCTTAGCTAAATTTAATGACAGAAAGTCGTTGCCAGTTTTCTCAGTGAGAGTGTGGGAAGAAGGCACAAGAACTAGTTCTAAAGTATTGCCTACCCACATTGTTTCTGTTCTCCCCTCATTTTTCTTCCCTTAGCCTCTGTAGGTAGTTGGGTTTTTAAAAATATTCACGACAGGGTCACACTGTTTTACTTACTTGCACTTTATAGTGGTGCTACAGATTGAACCCAGGGCCTTGTGTGCATGCTAGGCAAGCGCTTTACCACTGAGCTACACTCCCAGCCTGGGTAACTAGCTTTTATCAGAAGGAATCCCTGTGCTATCTGCCAAAGGTGGTATGTGGTGGGGAGCATTGGATGGGAGGGGTGAGAAATGGATACTTTGTAGATCCAACAGATGCTTCTTAAATGGAAATTGTGGTGTTCTGAGCATAGGCCTGACATCTAAATGTGGGTTGTATGTAACAACCTGGTAAGAGTAAGTATAGGATCTCATCTGTTGTAGACTGAGAGGTATGTTAGGGTGAGGGAGATTTGGACAAATAAATATACTTTGACTGATTTGTTTCTCAATATTTTTTTTTTTTTTTTTTTTTTTTTTTTTTTAATTTTTGCTGTATTTTATCCCTAGGGTGCAAATAGTTATGGGCAACTTGGCCTTGGCCATAAGGAAGATGTGCTTTTGCCCCAGCAACTGACTGACTTCTGTGAACCTAGGTGTGTCAGGAAGATTTCAGGGGGAGGAGGACATTCTATAATTGTCACAGGTAATTTCCTTCAAAAATAGGTAGCTACTTATTTTCTTTAGATATTTTCCTCTAGGATGTTGTAATACTGTCTTACAGCCTTTCATAATTTTCAGAGGAAAACCCTTTTGGAAAGAGCCATTTTACCATTAGACAATTTTAGATTTTAAGAGTTAGAAGGATTTCAAAAATCTAGGCCACCCTACAGTCCCCACATGATTCAAATGAGACTTAGAGAGGAACATTGATTGCTTAAGATCACAAGGCAGATTAGTGGCAGAGGTAAAACATGTGTCATGTTTATACCATATATTGCTACTTAACTTTCACATCTGAGTTAGAGGTCTTTGCAATTAGATCGAATACTCACTGGGAGCAAGAACCTTGTAGTTTCTTTATTCTTCCTTCCTGGTACCTAGGATAATATACAAGTACTATGAGTGTCATAGTATTGCAAAGGAGGGCATACAGTATCTGGTTAAGAACAGGAGCTCTGGAATCAAACTGCCTGAGTTCAAATCCTGGTTCAGTAATTTGTGAGCTGTGTGGCCATAGGTAGATAATCTTTCTGTGCCAATCTGTTCCTCAGTGCTTACCTAGGGATAATAATAGTTGATGAGGAGAATCAGTGGGTTCATAGGGCTGGATTATGACTTCCATGGGTCCTTGGCACCTTTCATGGACCCCTTCCTCTGTAAGTAAATATTAAAAATTACTTTACAACTGTGTTGCTGTAAAGATGAATATACCCCAGGCTGGATTTAGTATATATATTATTTTTTTCTCATTTTAAAAGAGTTTAATATGAGCTCATTTTCATGGGCCTCTAAAAGTCTTATTGGCCGTAGACACTGTACCTAAAGGATAAGTATTTGGCCTTGTACATAAACCTCTGAGTACCTGGCACATTTCAGTGTTGAGGAACTATTGGCTTTTTTGTTATAGTAGGTGTTCTGTTTGGTACTTGATTGGCCCTTACCCCAAGGTTTATAGTTTCTATTTAGATATTAGATTCCAGGCCCATGCTCTATGTCATTTGGCTCCAGAACCATTAATATGCCTAGATTGTTAACATTAACTTGGGTGATAAAAAGTTAATCCTCTGTGACTTCAAATAATTAGTGAAAACACTTCGCTCACTTTAACAGTTGTGATTTCTCCTGTGTGCACTATCACCAGAACCTTTGTATTTTGCAGATGGAGGAGGCCTTTTTGTTTGTGGCCTGAACAAAGATGGACAGTTGGGGCTTGGTCACACAGAGGACGTTCTGTGTTTTACCTTCTGCAAATCCCTTCGTGGCTGTCCCATCCAGCAGGTGGCCTGTGGCTGGGATTTCACCATTATGCTCACAGGCAAGTTCACTCCTGGGTAAATCTTTGTCATTACAAAGACTTTAGGTAAGAGCAACACAGTGGTGGTGAGGCCTGATGAGAGGAAAGCTTCTTTGTGTTTAAAGCACACACAGAGATGTTTTCTCTGGTCAAGGAGAGTTGCAAGATGCCTTTTACAGAGAGAGTTTCAGCAGCAAAGGTGATCAGGATCAGACTGAAAAACTTTTGCTAGAGACTAGGGAAAGGACTAGGTTGTCTCTGGTGGCCACTTCCCATCCCTAAAGTTCACAGTAGGTATGTGCTAGGCTAGATGGTCAGGTGTACCAGTTCGGGCCATCAAGGGGAAATGTGGGGAAGTATGAAAAGTGTGGGTTTCCACAGCAAGGAGGGATTTTTTTTTTAAAAATTCTTTGGCATTGAGGATCAAGTGTGCTCGGCAACTGTTCTACCACTGAGCAACAACCCGCGCCCCATATGTCAGGAGCGGGAAGCTTTAGTTGGACAGAACTAAGTTATATTTTAGCTAGATAGAACTTCTTAATCTTTGTGAAGCCAGCTTATAAAGGCATGTGATCAAAGGGTTAATAGAATAATGCTCTGATGAGCAGCTGGCCGTAGTTACTTTGTCAACTAACTTTTCCTTTGAATCAGTTTTAACCTATTTGCCTTTGCCCTCTGTAGCTGTCCATTTTGGGTTTAAAGGATCATCTGTAGTTTCTGACCTGGCTCCTCCTTTGTCACAGTCCTCTGGTACAGGCATTTTCTGACCATTTCCCCCTCCGCCCCAAGCCCTTGTGGAGTCTCACATGCACAGCTTAAATTCCAGGCTTTTTAGCCTGTGATCTTCTCGGGCTGTTCACCTCTCTGCCTATCTCTCTTTTTTTTTTTTTTTTAAATTTTAAAAATAAAAGGAGGAAAATATTAACAGACAGACAACATTTTACAAAATAGCAAAGGAACAGTACAGACAGTACGGAGTTACAAAGTGGGAGGGAATTAGCAATGCTTGTTGTATTACATATTGATATCTTCAAAGTGGCTTCTCATGAAAACAGATATAGACAAGCAATGCTGATCAACCAAGGACTCATTGACAGTTTCTTTCAGCAATCTCTTTGCCTATCTCTTATTCTCCACACTCTCTATACTTTGCTTTCTAGTAACACCAAATAGTTCATGCTTTTCTCTCTGGCCCAGCCTCCCCTATCTGTCACATAAAGTCTTATCCAGCTTTGAAACTCTGCTCAGATGTCACCATTTCTCTTCTGCAGATGGCTTCCATAATATGTACTGAATTTAATAGTAATTACTAGAATCTAAATAGAGGCTGGTCTGGGCGTAGTAGCAAATGCCTGTAATCCCAGCACTCAGGAGGCTGAGGCAGGAGGATCCCTGTGAGTTCAAGGCCAGCCTGGGTTGCTTAGTGAGTTCAAAGCCAGCCTGAAATACAGAGTGAGCCCCTGTCTCAGGAAAAAAAAAGGCGGATGGGGTGGGATGTAGCTCTGCAGTAGAGCATTTGCCTAGCATGTGCAAAGTCTTGGGTCCTATCAGCACTAAAGGAGGTCCTTATATATGTAGAATTTAAATGATAGCTGTCATTTATGAAGTGCTTATTGTAGCACCTGTGTTGGGATTGTAGGGACTCAGTAGATTGTACCGTTTCCCGTCTACATTTGGAACTGATTATGAGAAAAATACAGAGCATCAGAGCTGGGAATCAGACTATCAGCATTTTACTGATAAAGGCTAAGTTGGAGGACAGGGTTAATTATGAGACCAAGTGGTTCTAAAATTTCTCTGGTCTAGAGTTTCCTTCCACACTCTAGAGAACTTTTCATGGGAAATACCAGCCCAGAACACCTGAGAGGAAGTTGTCCTGTTCCTTCTCCCAAACATGTCCTTTGGTTACATGACACCTTCTTTCCTAGAAAGCCTTGAGAATGGGGAAGGGGAAGGAGAAAGGCCAGCAGTGTTACAGTGATGGAAATTCTGCCACATGCAAACATGAAAAGAGGGGAAAAGGTGTCTTTTCATTCCAATACTCAGCACTGGACTAAGTGTTCTGCACAGATAATTTGCCATTAATAGTATAGTGTAATAATTTATATAGAATACTTGGCCCAGTGCCTACTACTTTCATTCCTAGAGAAATAAAACAGGGAATATGGGCTAAGTGCATTGAAGCGCATGATCTCTACAACCTCCTGTCATCCCCTTTATGCCTCTTATCCTTCTGCATTTACCCATTAGCCACAGATGTCTTATGGCTTAGATTTGTAGTTTATTTGTATTTTATTTTGCAGAAAATGGTCAAGTTCTATCATGTGGATCCAACTCCTTTGGCCAGTTAGGTGTTCCTCCTGGGCCTCGAAGGTGTGTGGCTCCCCAGGCCATTGAGGTGAGGACATCTAATACTTGACTTACCTGTGTCCTGTTAGAGTATTTCCAGGCTATCATAGTTACTGTCACCTATACTAGCAGGTGGCTAGGTCCCTGTGAACCCATAGGGTAGTGGAATTTGAGTTGGGAAAAGTTAGTTTGCAGGCATTGATGTCAGGAGTGGAAAAACCTCTATTAGTTCTCATACACAGGATAAGGCTTTGTAAACTGAAACAATAAAGGTAATACATCTCATAAGGACATTAGTGACATTTTACAATTCTAAAATTAGTAATAATGGGAACCATGTTTGTAAGTGATCACAATAGTAATAACTGCAAATAGAAGAACCTGCATATATTATAATTAATTTAGCTTAACTATAATTCATAGAATTAAAGAAGACAGAATGGAACAGTGGTTAAAATATGTTGGATGATAGACTCAGTAAGTAAAAACATTTTGAAGGCTGTAGCCTATGAAACAATGGGAGGAATGTGCCAAAGTGAAATAGAATAGAAACTCATTTAGTTAATGGCAGCTGTTGTGTATAGCAGTGTTTAGGCAGCAGGGACACGGGTGAAGAAAACGTGTCTTCCATTTAGGAGTTTTGTAGTTTAGTAGTACACAATAGATAAAACTTGAATGCAGTGCCGCGTTAGAGCTGATGGATGCATGTGTAGCCCAAAGGAGGGAGGAATATATTCATATCCAGGGGAAGGCTGGGTGAGAACCTAGGCCAAGTCTTAGAAGTAGAGTAGAAGTTTACCTGGCTTGGGATGAGAGGATGTGTAGAGTAGTTGTAAGAAGAGCAAAGGCAGAAGGAGTAGTGTCTAGAATATTCACAAAGAAACTTTTGTTTACAAAAGTATAGGAACAGAAAATGGGTTTGAGATCCTCTAAGCCGTTTAGTATAGTTGAAATATGAGGAAGAGGTGAGACGGGTGGGCCCGTGGGGAGGGGGACAGTCAGGGTTGTTTTATGTGACAAACGTTAGCAGCATGTTAGGGAGGGGCCAGAAAGGGTAGTGTGGAAAGTGTCTTGAAGAAATATTACTTAGGAGACTTGCTAACAATCCAGTCAGGGAATGATTCTGGTCCACATGAAAGCAATGGCAATGGATATGGAGAGGAAAAGACAGAGATGAGTAGTATTCAAAGAGACCGAGTCCACATGTCAAGCCCTTCGGTTAGTTTAAAGAAAAAGGAAGGAGGAAAGAAAGGAAAGAAAGTACATTTTAAAGACAGTGTGTTCAAGATCAAATAGCAAGATCTTGTCAAAATATAAAGTGACTAGGGACTCCACTGGTACAGCAGCAGAAGAAAGAAGGCGAGAGCTCTGTTCTTCGTGCTGGTCGGACTGTATCTGGAGTGTTCTGTTGTGTTGTGAATTTGGTGCTCGGGTCCTGTGCATAAAAGTAAAAAAGACACAGGCCTTTCTCTTGGGGGATCTTAAAGTTTAGAAAGACCTGTGGACCTGCGAATCAGCAAATGTGACAGATGTGCCCCAGAGGGGCAGGGACTGATACATAGTTCCTTAAAAGAGAGAGATTGAGCAAACAGAGCATCTTTAGAGACAGGAAACCAGGAGGGAGGGAGAGTTTGAAACTCAGGAATGGATGATTGAACTGGGAATATTTGGCCTAAGGAAAGGATCTGCATTAGTTATCTATTGCTTTGTAACGAATTACCTCCAAATATAGCAGTAGACAACAAACATATTGTTTCTATGGGGCAGGAATCTAGAAATAGCTGAGCTGATCTTTCCTGAGATCACAGCTGGGTCTGTGTGTGAGTTTGTGGGCACCGCTGGTCTGCAGACCCATGTCCACGTTCTCTCACATGACCCTTGTCAGGAGGCCTCAATTCCTTGCCACGTGGAGCTCTCTGTGGGCCCATTCACACATGGCTGTGGCTTTCCCCAGGAGTGATTAAGGCAGGGAGATGCCAACCAGGGAGCTCAGTGCATTTTATCACCTCATCTCTGAGTCACTCATTGCGTCCTTGTTCTTTTCATTAAAAGTATGTCACTAAGTCCAGCCCACACAGTGGAGGGGAGCTAAGCAGCACATCTCGAAGGGAGTAGTATCAAAGAATTCAAGGACCTATTTTTAAAACCACCACAAGATGTCTTAAAGAGGACATGACAACTGTCTTCAAATATTTGGAAAGTGTTGTCAGAAGCTGCAGGCAGATGGGTTTGGCTCCACCTAAAGGGATAAATGGAATTGTTCAGAGGTGGAACAAGCACCTGGGGAGGTGGTGAGCCTGTGTCCCTGGAGGGCAGTGTGGGCAGGGGTGGGCTGGCCTCTGGTAGTGTTGGTGAGGAGGGTCTGGCATTGGAAAGGGATTGGATTAGATCAGGATTGGGAAAACTAGAGCTGCCAGTAAGTAAAGTCTAATTGGAACACAGCCATACTTACTCATTTTTGTATATTCTACAGCTGTTTCTGTAGTATGGTGTCAGAACTGAGTTGTGTAACAGGAGCCATACAGTCTGTAAAGTCTGAAATATTTACTCTCTGGCCCTTTTTAGAAAATGTGTAGTAACTCTGCACTGGATGACCTTGAAGATCCCTCCCACCCATGAGGGGTATTGTGAGGTGGTATTTTTAAAAGATTTTTTTTTTCCTTCTAGGGTTTTTTACTTTTAAAATGTATTTATGGATAGAAATGTTGGGGGCAGGGCTTTATATATTTATAATTGTTTATTATTTTTTTCAGTACTGGGTTTGAACCAAGGGAGCACTGAACTACATCCCCACCTCTTTCTGTTTTTTGTTTTTGAGACATGGTCTCACTTAGTTGCTGAGGCTGGGCTTGAACTTAGGATCCTCCTGCTGCAGTCTCCTGAATACCTGGGATTATAGATGTATATAACCACACTCTTCAAGATGCCTTCCACACTATCCTATTTAAACAGTCAGACCCATCATGAGGACCATGCTGCATCATACTGGGCATAAATTACATGAAATTTTCTAGATGGGTGATACTGAGATCTAAACCTTTTTTTTTTTATTACAGATTCTGAGAGAGAAGGTTATTTGTGTTGCTGCTGGACTGAGGCATGCATTAGCTGCTACAGGTGATCATTTTGCCTTTATTTCCTAAATAGGCATAAAATAAGGAGGAACGGAGCTTTAGGAGAAAAACCTTTCAAGGGGTGTTTAAAGGGTCCTTGCTGTGTTAAAGTTCTGATAAAAAGGGAACATAAGGCAGGTACCATGTGGGAAAGCCTTTAGCAGAAAGGATGGAGGAAATGAAGGTTTCTAGCTCTTCTTGTTCTGGGTGTGAAGATTCGTTTAATCCTCACAAGGAGGAAGTGATGTGAGTTTAAAATTATTCTATGTGAAGAAACTGAGGTTCAGAAAAGTTAAAGCACTTGTGCATGGTACACGTGGGGTGAGGTAGGTGGGATCAGAGTCTGGGATGGTCTGGATATCAGGGTCCACCTTCTTTGCAGTGAACTGTACTGTCTTCCTAGTAAATACTAATGATCATTAATTTAAAGCTTTAGGTAAGCTTGTTTTCTGTACCAGGTATAAGCTTTTGGGGTTGTCTTGTTTTCCCTAGTCAGTATAATGCCCTGAAGATTCATCCAAGTTTTGCATGGCTATAATTTGTTCCTGTTTTCGCTGAGTAATATTCCAAGGTATGGCTGTATCACTGTGTGAGTCTGGGAGGGCTGCCATAACAAAATCTCACAGACTGAGTGGCTGCAACAACAGAAATTACTCACTGTTCTTGAGGCTCAAAGCCCAAGATCAGTGTACTGATGGGATTGGTTTCTAGTGAGGCCTTTTTCTTGGCTTCTTCTGTCCTTATGTGGCCTTTCATCTGTACACTTGTGGAGTGAGAGAGATCTCTGGTGTCTTCCTCTTCTTATAAGGAAACAAGTCCTATTGGATTAAGGTTCCACCATATGACACCATTTAACCTTTATTACCTCCTTGTAGGTCCTGTTGCCAAATATAGTCACTTTGGGGATTAGAGCTTCAACATCTGAATTTTGAAGGGACACAGTTCAGTCCATTATGGCCACAGTTTGACCAGCCAGCCACCCAGCAGGACATCTGGATTGTTTCCAGTTTGGGGCTCTCAAGAGGAAAGCTGTGGGGCTGGGTGTGGTGGTGCACACCTGTAATCCCATCTACTTGAGAAGCTAAGGCAAGAGGACCTGAATTTGAAGGCCAGACTGCGCAACTATTGAGACCTTCTCCCCCAAAACCCCCAAAAAAGGCTGGGGATGTAGCACAGCACTCTCTGAATTCGGCTCCCACTACCACACACCATATAAACATGTGTGGACAGGTTTTTATAGGAACATACGTTTTCATTTGTCTGACGGATGCCCAGTAGTGTGATTGTTGGCTGTATGGTAGTGATTATGTTTTTTATAAAAACACATTTCCCTCTTAGAAATCAGTAAGGCAAGAAAATTGCATATAATGTTTTTTTTCCTCTAACCCTAATCTTAACCCTAACCCCCTTGTCTGTCAGATTTCTGTACTTGCTAGTCTTTTTTTGAAAACAGGTTTATTGAGGTGAAGTTGACATAATTGCACATATTTAATTGTATAATTTGATGGATTTGGAAATTTGCCGATATCTGTGGTACCATCATCACCACCATCATGGTAATAGACATCCAACATCTCCCAAAGCTTCTTTAAGTCCCTTTGGACACTGTGTGTTTGTGTGTGTGTGTTTGTGTCAAGAACATGTACCATGAGATCTACCCTCTTCAATGTTGAGGTGTGCAGTGCTGCATGTGTATGTTAGCTATAGACACTGTTGTATAGCAGATCTCTAGAATTTACTGGTTTAGCATAGCTGAAACCTTATACCCAATGAACAGTTCCCATTTCCCCTACCCCTGTGCCCTGACAACCACTATTACATTCTCTGCGTCTGTGAGTTTCACTCATAGGTACCCAGTATAAGTGGTATCATACAGTATTTGTTCTGTGTCTGATTTATTTTGTCTACAATAATGTCATCCAGATTCATTTATTAGTGCAACAAATGGCAGGATTTCCTTTTTTTTTTGTCCTGGGAATCAAACTCATGACCTCAGGCTTGCCAGGCAAGCTCTTATGCCACTGACCTATATCCCCAGCAGGATTTTCTTCTTTTTAAAGACTGAATAATATTCTGTTGTACTACATTTTTAAAACTCATCTTTGGAGAGACATGGGTTATTTCCATGTTTTGGCTTTTGTGAGTGGTACTGCAATCAACATGAGAATAGAGTGCAGATATTCCCTCAAGATCCAGGTTTTAGATCTTTTGGATATGTAGACAGAAGTGGGATTTGCTGGGTCATGAGGAAATTCTATTTTTAATTTTTTGAGGAGCCTCTATACTGCTGTTCATAGTTGTAGCCCCATTTTGCATTCCTAAGAACAATGTACCAGAATTCCAGTTTCTTCACAGTCTCACCAACACATTAAAAAAAAATAATAGCCACCCTAACAAATGGCAAGTGAATTCTCATTGCAGTTTTGATTTGTATTTTCCTGATAATGATTTTGATCATCTTTTCATTTACATGTTGACCATTTGTATGTCTTCTTTGGGGGACATGTCTATTCAAGTCTTTGGCCATTTAAAATTTTTTGTTATTGAGTGGTAGAAGTTCCTTATATATTTTAGAAATTAACCCCTTATAGCTGGATGTGGTGACTCTTGCCTGTAATTCCAGAATTGGAGGAGGCTGAGGCAGGAATTACAAGTTTACATCCCACTTGGACAACTTAGTGAGCCAGTGCCTCAAAAAAAAGAAAAACAATGAATGAACAAATGAATGATGTCTTGGTTACTTTTTTCTCATTGCAGGGTGTTATGGTTGATACATTGTGTCAACTTGGGGAGTCTAGAGGTTTGGCTAAGTGACTCAGCAGGAAGCCAGGGTACTCACTTTGTATACATCCTGAGCCTGTGGAAGAGGAGGACATGGAGATTGTGTGAGAGCTACACGCCCCTTAGGTGGGGGTAGCCTGTTTATGATGTAAGGCAAGAAAGAAGCTGCTTGCCGCCATTCCTCCAGGTTTGCTCTGGCTGTTTGCTGTTCGGCTGCCATTCCCCCCTTTGCTCTTGTTGCTTTGCTATCTTCTGCCTCGGAGCCAGCCAAGTATGGACCAAAACCTCCACAAACTGTAAGCTAAATAAACCTTTCCTTCCTTCATTTTGGACGTTGGGTATTTTGTCTCAGCAACGAGAAAAAAGTAACCAAGACACTGGGACAAAATATCTGATGCCCAAAATTAAGGAAGGAAAGGTTTATTTTGCTTACAGTGTGTGGAGGTTTCAGTCCATGTTTGGCAGATTATAAGGCAGAGTGGCACATGGCAGAGAGCTACAGCTCAGGGTGGCAGACAACAGCAAAAGCAGCAACCACACACCAGGGCGGAATGGGGGAGGAATGGCCTCAAGCACCCTTTTCCTCTCCCTTACATATGCAAACTAGCCACTCCAGGGCAGGTGCAGCTCTCACACTCCTAATCAATCAAACTTTAAAAGCCTGCCTCATGGCCGCTTGAGGCTTTGGGGGGACACACAGATTCAAACCATAACAAATGAGTAAACGAACACATGGCTGGGGATGTGGCTCAGTGGTAAGGTGCCCAGGTTTGATCCCCAGCACAGAAAAAAAATTGGCCTCTTATCAGATATATGGCTTGCGAAATTCTGAATTTTATTGCTAGTCTTAGGTATTCATTTCTATCCAGTCATGAAGTAGAACAGTTTGCTTATGTGTTTGATTAACTTAATTATAAGTCCTCCTCTCATTTAATCTGTACATATTTCTACATGTATCCCTAAAAGATAAGTATTTTTTTTGAAAATATTGCTGTAATACCATCATCAGACCTAAAAAAATTAAAAATAATTCTATAATACCATTAAATATGTAGTAGATATTTATATTCTCCTGTCTTTTGAATCAGGAGATGAATGAGGTCTGCATATTATAGTTGGTTGATAGGTATTTTGAGTCTCTCTTAAAAATTTATTTTTTTTGAGTTTTTATTGCAGTTAAATATGTATAACAAAATTTTACATCTTAATCATGATTAAGTGTACAGTTCAGTAGTATTAAGTGCATTCATACTGTTGTGAAATCATTTTTGCTATCCATCTCCTAAAGGTTTTTCATCTTGAAAAATTAAAATTCTGTACCCAATAACTCTCCAGCTCTCTCCCCCCAGCATTCTACTTTGTGTCCGTACAGTGTTGACTACTCTAAGTACCTCATATAAATGGACTCATAAAGTGTTTGTCTTTTTTGTGACTGGCTTATTTCACTTATACTGACCTCATGGTTCATCCATGGAGTGTAGTGACAACATTTCTATACTTTCTCAGCCTAACAGTATTCCTCTGTGTGTTTGTGTGTGTGTGTTTGTACGCGTGCACGTGCCACATTTTGTTTATCCACTCATCTGTGCCGCATTTTGTTTATCCACTCATCTGTGCCACATTTTGCTTATCCACTCATCTGTCATCAATCACTTCAATTACTTCCTTATTTTACCTATAGAGAATAATGCTAGCATGAGCTAATGACTCTCTTAGATCCTACTTTTACTTTTGGAGATATACCCAGGAGCACAATTGCTAGATCATATGGTAATTCCATTTTTAACTTTTTGAGGAACTGCCATTTTGTTTTCCATAGCAGTTGTACCATTTTACATTCTTGCATACAGTACACAAGAGTTTTAATTCTTCCACAAGCTCCCCAGTGCTTGGTATTTTGGGTTTTCTGTTTTGTTTGCTTGCTATAGCATGCAAATAAGCGTAAGCTGGTATCTCATTGTAATTTTGGTATGTATTTCCCTAATAATTAGTGATGTTGAGCATCTTTTCATGTGTTTATTGATCCTTTATGTATCTTCTTGGAGAAATGTGTATTCAAGTCCTTTGTCCATTTAAAATTATTTTTTTAAAATTTTAGGAGTTCTTAATGTATTCTAGATGATAATCTTTTATCAGGTATCTGAAGTTCCTTTTAATTTATTGATTTTTTATACTCTTTTGTCTTTGCAGTTTATTTGTTGAGGTGATTTTAAGTGCTGTTTTATTACAGCTGTATGCTTTTCTTGCATTGTGCTCAGTGTTCATAGCTTGATTTTCATAAAGCAGGCTTATCTGTTTACAGCCTAAGGGACCACTGGTTATAGAATGCTTTTAAAAGAGCAGACCTGGATGTTGTGTTGGGGATCCAAATTGCATATATCTGACAGTGGACCAAAGATACAGAATTTTATCTTTGCATTTGAAATTCAGAACATGAGATTCAGTGATCTTGGAAATAAAAGATCATCTTACTGAAATTGTGACTGTTAAATTATCTTGTAATCATAGGTACATAATTTATTTGGCAATTGAGAATCTTTAAATTCATCCTGGTGTAGTGGAAAGAACGTTACCTTAGGTGTTAGGAATGCTGAGTCCTAGCATTTTCTCTGTTATTACTGTGGACAAATGACATCCTCTCTGCAGGGCCTCAGTTTTCTCACCTAGTAAATGAGAAGAATGAACTTAGTGGTCTTCACAATTCTTTTCTATTTCGTTTGGAGTCTGAGTTGTCCTTTCAGGGTAATGAACATTCCAGTGATATGACTGGAGGAATATCCTAAAAATTTTTGAAGGAAATTTTACTATGTTGGAATTATCTTTCATGGTCTTACATTGTCCTGATGACTGGATTTGTGATTGGCTTCATGGTAATCCTTGCAACCAGTCATGGGACCCCTTGAAGCAGCAAACTTTTCCATAATATTCATGTTAACTGAGAATGAATAAGGAATTTCCGGTAGCTCACCAGTGGTTGGTATTATCTGAGCTTTTTGTTCAAAGAGCAATCTGGTTGTCTTTTTTTTTGAGACATGTCTCACTATGTAGTTCACGCTGGCTTTGAACTCACTATATAGCCCAGGCTGGCCTCAAACTCCTGGTGATCTTCTTGGCTCAGCTTCCTGAGGGCTAGGATTACAGGCATGGGCCCCTATGATTGGCATAACAGTCTGGTCTTATTCTGATGTGCATTTTCTGTTTTTTCTTCTGCTTCATTGGGAAGTGAGTGGCATTGTGTTCCAGTGGGGGACTGGTTTGGCATCATCTGGACGACGGTTATGTCCTGAGCAGACTCTCCCGTTGTTTTTGACAGCAGAGGAACCAAGCAGAGTTACGGGTGAGCCCATTATTTCTTAGTTTTGTATTTATTTAGTTTTGTATTTATTCTTTGGGGGGAAGTACAGACACACACATGGAGAAGATGATGAAATGAGTTTTTACTTTTGCTCTTTCTTGATCTCTCTGTCTAAGATTTTCTGTTGGTTGGTATTTGTCTTGTTGGGACTTTTGTGGTCCCAGTAAAAGTAAACCCTTTGCGGTCATTTTGGGACCTACTGAGAGAAGCAAGTCAGGTGGGTAGAGATGAAAATGGTAGCTCTGCAAAGTTACTCGGAAGATACAACTTAGATGCTTAGAAACAATGTGTGGTAACCGTGACCCGATGAATCCTGAACCCTAGATTGAGCTTCCTCACTAGGCAACTGCAGAGTCAGTCCCGGTAAGCTTGCTGCATCGCTAAGCAGACATGGGATTGCAGCCTGTCTGTGGGCAGGCCCACCGCACAGGGAGAGCCCAGAAGGACTGTGACTGTGCCTCCCATGTCCAGTTCCTTGTGTCAAAACGGAAGCGGGGATGAGAATATAGAGAGAGGGCCAGGAGTGTTCTTGTAGGGAAATCTCTGTATGAAAACACGAAGAGTAGGTAGTAGGTGTTCTGGTGGTTGATCTTTTGTTGGTCAGTTGGTCTGTAGGGATTTTTTTTCTCTTTTGCTTCTTCCTCTTCTTCCCCCTTCACCCCCCTCTCTCTCTCTTTCTCTCTCTCCCTCTCCCTCTCCCTCTCCCTCTCCCTGTCTTTCTCTCTCTCCCCTCTGTGTCCACTGTCTCCTCTCTGCCTCTCCCAGTCTCTTTATTGGTCCTTCTGTCTTTGTATATAGCACTATGTCTGTATCTCATGCTTCTTCTCTCACTCTCTTACTTTATGATGCAGAGTTGGGAAGGGGAGCCTATAGTGGGGGTCATGTACATGGGTATTGGGGACATCCTGGTTTTTTGCAGTTGTAGATTCTCTTCTTCAGATGGAGCTGGAGTTAGCTTCCTGAAGCTCTGGGTTGAGTTGGGGAGGGAACTCAGAAAAGGACAGGGTGGTGTTGAGGTTGTCATTTCACATCCCATTGAAAACACTCATAAACTCGTATTTTCCAAACCATTTTTCTTCTTTGTCAAAGTGTTCATTGCTCCCTCAGCACCCCCTGCTTTCCGTGCCTCCATGCCCATGGACACACTGTCTGCTCTGCCCCAAATGCCTTTCCTTGCTGCTGTCTCTGGGAAAATCCCAGGAGTTTTTCAAGGGCTCGCACAGAGGCAGTTCTCTTGGTGAAGCTCTTTCTTCTTCTAACCTCCATTGAACGTTCTTCACAGGCACTGAAAGCAGAAAGCCTTCCACGAGTATGAGTTGTTAAGGTTTCTTACATGCCAAAGACTATGAGCTTTTTAAGGGCAGGAACTGTGTATCCTGGCATAGGACCAATAACTAGAAGGAATCAAACAAATTTTTTCTTTTAGTTGATTTGATTTAAACAACCTGATTGGGACCTGCTTAGAGTAACGGCGTGGATTCAGGATTGACTTGTGGGAGTTTCTGATGAGACCTGAGGATGAATCATCAATCCCTGTCCTCACAGTCTTTCGCTTTGCATTTTCCCATCTTAACCTCATAGCCGCAGGCTCTGGTCTTAGATCCCTGGCTGTCCCCTCCTCGGCTGGGTAGGGGCCCAGGATTCCTCTCTAGGTGAATGTGGCTGGAAGTATCTGCTCTGTCTTATTATTGCACAACATATTTGAAGAAGCAAGATGTCTTTTATGAAGACACTAGATAATGAAGCTGAAATTTCAGAAAAGAGTCATGGAATGGGACTGCATTTATCTGCCTGCAAGACCACATGTTGCCACAGGTTATCACAGCTTCTAGCAGACTTGTTTGGGACCTGATTTGTCTTGAATGTAGTGTTGTGAAGCAGGGAAAAGTGTGGACTTGGAGCTAGAAGCCCGGTTCCAATCTTAGTTCTGCCTCTATGTTCTTAAGGGCCTTGGTTTGTATTTAAGTCCTGCACACAGTAGCAGCTGAATGTAGGAGTTGCCAGTGCTTCTAGGCTCACTTGGCAGACAGAAATAGAGCCAAACATATATTTTTACACATAAACACATATCTGTCTGTCTCTACCAGAAGCTATGAATTTATACTGATTTTCCCAATTACAATCCGGTATCACTGGTTGTTTCTAGCTTTCCTCTTTTCATAGTGGTACTTTCTTTTCTCTGCTAATGTGTGTACTTACCTGTTTACACCTCTAGCGTGTTACTGTCACCCACTATGCCAGCCGTCTTCTTGGCCAGTGCTGCTTACCCGTCCCCCCCCCCCCCGCCTGAATTGCGTGAGAGTCTCTCTCCATGCCCAGGGGCTGCTGACTGAGAGTCCCCTCTTCTGCCCAGTTTGTTCTGTTATAAGTGTAATTCAGAGGAAAACTTTTTTTTTTGTAGGCCTAGAGAATTCTAAAGCAATATGTGTTCTTGCCGGCTCAGCCCACTCGGCTTCATTAACAGGTATGTACCAGCTCTTTCACAGAATGACAAACCATTTACAATTCCGTATGTGACTGCCTGAGTGGTGCTGTTGACCTACAGAGGGAAGGTCTTTGAAGCCAGAATTCTGATGCCACTGTTGGTGTGATCTTAGGCAAATGACCTTTTTGAGGCTATCTCCTTCTCTGTAAGATGCATTGTGATTAGTTACCGGAATTTAGTATGAGGATACATGGAATGCACTCACATCAAACATAGGCTCACTTCCTTTTCCTCTCAGTTCTTTTCTCAATTTATATAAGAAGGACAAGAATATCTTCTTTTTAAGGTAGTTGTGATGGTCAGATCATATGGTCAACAGTAGGTTTATGTCCCCTTGTGAGTTATCCCTGTAGGTTACATGCTGCTTAGCAGTGGTAATATGTTCTGAGAAATGTATCCTTAGGCGATTTTTGTCATTGTTCAACTGCCTCAGACTATACCTGCACAAACCTTGGTGGTGTAATGTGCCACATACCTAGGCTGTATGATACATACCACTGTAAATGTGGTCTCTTGTTGACTGAAGTGTAATGTGATGCATGACTGTATAACATATTGTTATCTTATCTGACTAATCCATCTCCATGTCTAGTATGACTAAGCTCACCTTTTAGCAACTTACACTCAAACTAACTTATTTTTTTCTTCCTTCTTTCTTCCCTTTCCTTTCCTTTCCTTTTCCTTCCTTATTTCCTTCCTTCGTTCCTTATTTCCTTCCTTCCTTCCTTCCTTCTCTTTCTTTCTTTTTGACTTTTTTGAGACAAGGTATTGCCATGCACTTCTGGCTGGCCTTGAACTCACTTTGTACTCAGGAGCACTACCCGAACTCGTAGTGCTCCTCCTGCCTCAGCTTCCCATCTATTTCTTTCTAATCCATTTATCTCTCTCTTCTTTATCTACTTTATTTACCTATATATTTCTCTACCTTTCACATTTCTATCTTGCCTATTTCTGTATATATCTGAGCCTTTCTATATTTCTTTTTCTTTTTCTTTTTTTTTTTTTTTGTTCTTTTTGAGACAGGGTCTCACTATGCAGTTAAGGCTGGCCTTGAACTCACTTTGTAGCCCAGGCTGGTCTTGAACTCACAAGGGTCCTCCTGCCTCAGCCTCCCAAGTGCTGGGATTACAGGCGTGCACCACCATGCGCGGCTTCTATATTTCTCTAATCTGATATTTTTATACATTTCTCTAATTCATCTCTCTATTCTGTTTCTTCAATCCGTCTATTTTTCTGTCTCATTTGTTTTCCCTTTCTGTTTCCTGGCTGGCCTTCATGAACCCATCCACTGATGTGCCCAGCTAGCGCAGTGTAAACTTTCCAGTGACTTTTCCTTAGGAGGAATGGAGCATTTTCTTGAAAGCCTTTTCTTTTGACCTAGATTCTCCTGATCCCTGCTGATAGGGGTAGATTGGAGTGTGTATTGCCCAGAGATTGATTTTGGTAAGGTCTCTCACACAGAGTTGAATGTATTCCATTTTGTAAGCGAAGAAGAGGCACTTTCATAGTTGGTGTTTTCAGTGTTTTAGGAGGAAATTTAGCTATGCATGTAGCATGAGTAAATTAATGGCATCATGCTTTCCTCCGTGTCAGAGCTGCAGTGCAGTCCCGCTGAGGTGCTGTTGTTCCAGGCACCAGAGCCACAGTGTGGAAGTTTAAATACTTCACGGATCCTGAGCCACAGATAATTTGTTGTTTAATGAGTTTAAAACGACCAGCTAATGAAAGGAGCGCCTACTTTTAGCCTGTGTGCTACGTGAGCGTGTTTATGTGTTTGTTAAAAGCATTGCACGGAAGTGGATGCCAGCTGTAAGCGATTGTACTGGGCACCTGGTCCCACCTCCCCTTTGACGGGAAGGACTGGAGATGTGAGAGTGAGAGTGACTTGTTCATGCCCGCAGGCACTGAGGGCATTCTTTCCTGGGACTGAGGGCAGACTAAGTTATCTTCCTTTGTTCTAATTCATTTGAAGTGGCTGACATCATGTAAACTTAGAAATTGCCTAACTGCCCACTAATGCCAAATTTCTTAAAAAAATCTTTTATCAATAAATTTATGCCTCATATGTGGCCACTTTTATTATGGCATTTTTTCATACATAGATTTCAAAATTTTCATTGAGATGTAACTCATGAAACTCACCGTTTTCAAGTGTCCATTTAGTCATTTTTAATATATTCATAATGTGAATTGGTTTTTGATATTTTGAAAGCAGTTTAAAAATTGTGAAGATTAATAGCTTTCTTTCCTTGTTTAGTTCAAGCTGTTAGCACTTTGGAGTTTGCTCAGTGCTCTTTAGACCTTTTCTCCAGAGTTCTTGTAGATTATGTAACTCTTTGACATTATAGCAGAGTTTAATTTTACCTGCTGATGCAACAGTGTAATGATCCTTATGTGGAAGACAGTTTGTTTTTCTTTTTTTTTTTTTTTGTCTTTTTGAGACAGGGTCTTGCTATGCAGTTCAGGCTGGCCTTGAGCTCATTTTGTAGCCCAGGCCAATCTCGAACTCACAACGATCCTCCTGCCTCAGCCTCCCAAGTGCTGGGATTACAGGCGTGTGCCACCATGCCCGGTGACAGTTTGTTTTTGAAAATGATGGTTTAGACACGTAAAGATAAATGAAGGCCTATTCCACCTACAGGCTTCTTCATCAGAGTATCTTTGCAGACCTTCATTCCATGTAATGGGTTGATATTTTACTGAGGGGGCTTCTTTGCCCCATTGTAAGGGATCTGTATATTTTGCACAACTTGATAAACTCCAGGAAGGTTACCTTTTCCTAGAGAATGAAATGTACCACATTTACTTCATAGAACTGTAGGATGTCAGCACAGCAGGGTTGTCTGGGTGGTGAGAGGCTTCACTGATGTAAATGCTCATTTTCGAGTTGAGGAGGCAGAGGTCTGGAATGTAAAGTGATGTGGCCAGTGTCAGACAGTGAGCAGCAGATTTGAATCCTGGACTCCTGACCCCTGGTCTCATGTCCTTTACTGTTACTGATTTGAATTTTGATCAGTTTTTGGGAATGTGCCAGATTGCCCTAGAACAAGCAATACAGTACTGTAAAGTTTTATTTTAAGGTCACAAAACGTAGTAGAAGCAGAAGACCTGGCTTCTTCGCCTTATTAGCCATGAATCCTTTTCTAGCCATGTGATCTTGAAAATCCACATCTTCCAGCCTTGATGCACTTACCTTTTAGAGCAGTGTCATCTGAAAGATATAAATTATAAGCCACAATTCCAAAACTAAAAAGAAACAGGCGAAATTATTTCAATAATATATTTTACTCGACTCAGTATATCCAAATATTATTTCAGCGTATAATCATCTATGAGCTACACTTTTTTTCTGCACCGTCTTTGCAATCCATCATGTATTTTTCACTTATATGTCCTTTTGGGCTAGCCACATTTCAGTTGTTGAGTAGATACACATGGCTAGTGACTGCTATATTGGTCTGTGTAGCAGAATTTTAGAATGTTAGAATTTGGAATGTTAATGAACAATTCTGAGGAGTTACAAACTGATGACACAGGCTAAATTATAGCTGTGGCTTCATGTTGTTTGGTTGTCATCTAAAAAAAAATTTGGACTTGAATGCCTTTTAGACAGGTGTACACGGCTCCCACCAATTGCTCTTGTTACTAGTGTCATCAGTCCTATTGTCTGCCCCTCTAGACCAACTACCCTCCCTCCCAGTATTCAGCTGGAGAAACTGAAGCTGAGAGAGGAAGTGATTTGTCCAAGGTCAATAGCTAGTTAGCAGATCCAGAAATAGAAGCCAGAGTCACTTGACTCTGAATTTGCTTTTTTTTTCCTATTAAATCACAAAGTCAGTCATTTCTGCTTATATCATAGGCTTATTGTGAAGTTGAAATGAGCCAAAAAGCTATGCAGCTGTGATATGGTAGCATTATATTTTCTGCTGACCAGAGCATACTATGAAATCATCTCATTTTTAAAAGTTTAAGCTTACATAGTGTATCTTTTAACCTGTTATTTTAAAATATTAAAACTTTTTTTCCTAATGAAAGATAATGTCCTATTGTGGGACAAAACACTTGATGAGGACAGTTTAAAGGAGGAAGTAATTTATTTTGGCTCATAGTTGCAAAGGTTTCAGTTCATGGTTGACTGGCTCCAAGGCGGAAACATCGTAGTGGAAGAAGGGCATGGTGGAGGAAAGCTGCTCACCTCATGGCAGCCGGGAAGTGGAGAGAGTGAAAGAGTTGGACAGAAGGGGACAGAGACCTAATATAGTCCCCAAGGTCAGACCTTTGTGACCCACTCCCTTCAACTAGGGCTGTCCCCTTGAGTCTTCATCACCGTCCAGTAATGCCCTTGAATTATAAATAGATCAGTGGATTAATCCACTGATGAAATTAGAGTCCTCATGATCCAGTTGCCTTGTTTCCTATGCATAGAATTTCTATAAATCTTATATTTTATTATGTAATACACACATTTTTTGTTCTCCTTGGTCCCGCTGAACATTGTACCATAAGTATAAAACAATTTCTTTTAACTATTTCTTTTTAGACTTGTGTTTTTTATAAGACTTGTGTGTTTTAGCCACTTTGCACTAATGTTCATTCACCTCTTGTTTCCTTCTGTTTAAGATGCAGGAGAGCTGTATGTTTGGGGCAGTAATAAGCACGGGCAACTGGCTATGCAGGCTGCTTTCCTTCTCATGCCCCAGAAAATAGAAGCGCATTGTTTTCAGAGTGAAAAGGTCACAGCCGCCTGGAGTGGGTGGACCCACCTGGTTGCTCAGACAGGTGAGTACAGCAGAGAACGTGGGGTTCATAAGAGCAGTTGGGGGACAGCTGTCTAAAGCTCTTAATCCTTGGGGTGAAGATCTTCTGATCTGGGATCTGGTTCTGTGATCAGCCAGGTGTGTTTGCACCAAAAGGCAGTGCTGGGTGAAGCTCTGGTCCAAAGAGGCCATGAAGCTTTGGTTGCACTAGCACCCAGAAACTTGTCTAGGTTGTTGGGAGTCCTCGTCTTGTTATGCTAAAGAGATGACACTATTTGCATTTCCTTTTGAGTCTAAATTAGAAGCATTAGAAAATGTTAAACTAAGGGCAGATTTCTCAACTGGGGCAGGAACATTATTTTGAATTATAGCTGGCATTATAATCTGATTTAGATTTTTATTGACCCTAATAAATGATGTACCATGGTTTGGACCTCTCATATTTGCTCAGATGCTGCCATGCAGGCCCTGTGGCTTTTGGAATCTTCCTGAGTCTTCATCTGTTTCTCATCTTTCTTTTAGGATGGTTCTTTCTTGGCCTTCCCATCCCTGACTTTATTCTCCAATTTTGTTTGTGGGCTTTTTTCATCCCTGATGTCTGAGAGGTCCTGTTACCTTACACAGAGTCCCCCAGACAGCCGATTTGTAAATCTTAAAAGATCTGTTATCATGCTGAGGCCTTCTGAACTTCAGGGTTTCTCAGGGCCGCCCTGGCTCACTCTTTTCCTGCTTGCCAGCTTCATATCTATCTCTAGATCCCAGATACCTGGTGACCATTGTTCCAGGCTTCTGGCTTTTGCAGGTTTTCAGTGAGCTTCAGTTATCTTTGGTAAGCCACACATACTACACATTTGCACATGCCAGCATAGACCTGTGAATATTCAAATGTATGATGTTTTTAATTGGTCTTTTAAAAAATTTTACTATCACTCTGAAACTGAGCCTATATAACACAAGATGTATAATATAATTCCTGTGTCACCACTTTGTAGCATGGAATAAGAAAGTGTGTCATTACTTTGGAGGAAAAATCATTCTTTCCTCAAACACGTTCACACTGCTAGAAGAGTGGGCCCATCTGGAGGAACTTTTCTTTAAGCAACTCACAAAGCATAGTTGTTGATAACAGTTTTTTTTTTCTCTAGATAGTAATCTGTGTGAGGGAAACAACCATATTGGTTTTGTTCATTTCTGTGTCTCATTGCCTCTCAGAGAATGTATTTATTTCCTGTCTCAAATTGTTTGTGGTTAAAAGGGACTAAACAATGCATGTAAAGCAGGATAGACAGGATTTCTGGCTTCTTTTCTGAGACTCACTGGTTCATGTACAGAGGCTTTGAATTCAGGGATCCAGTCTAATCAGGTAATGTTTATTGGGCACCATTGAGCAGTGTGCTAATAAGAAATGGAGCAGACAAGACATCAGCTGCCATTCTTACTAGAAAGTGACAGTAGGCTTAAGTCTAAGAAAATAGAGACAGAGAACTTTTCTACCCATTCATCCACCCATCCACCCAACTATCCATCCAAACAGTGATGATGGTCTGTGTATGCACCATGCCTTGTACCAGCTGTAAATCTTGCCCCTAAGGAGCCCACTAGGGGAGACAGACTTGTAATCAAATTTCTGCACATTCCAGTATGAACTGTGAACAATAGAGCTAAGTACAAAATGCAAATGCAGCATAGTTGTCTGAGTAATTAGGTGCCAATAGGTAGGCGTTTCGTGGTTAGTCAATCTCCAGAGAATTGCGGTGCAGTAAAATACAGTTACTACCAAATGTTGTGAGTTTGGTTGAGTCTGTCAGTAACTCTTTAACTAGTTATGAGAGCCATGAAGCTGTTGCTTTTTTGCAGCATTGTAACTGATGGTGATTCTCATGTTTGGGCTAGTTGCCCAGCCCTTAGGGTGGGAGGTTGAAACCCATGTTCCTGACACTGAGTCACTCCAGCTGCTTTGGAGCTTAGCTTTAGGTTTGCACCTCCACTCATGGTTTTTGGAAACATGGTTTTTTGGAAATCATGGTGTTTTGGAAACATTTCAGCTGTTTAATTAACTTGTTAATTCAGATTGCTTGTTTCTGTACATTGCCACTTTCCTCTTTCTCCGAAGTCCGGAGTGCTTAAAGCTGGGATGCTTGAGTGTCCTGGGTGTACTGAATTGCGGGTAAATGGGAGTCTTCTGCTATTTGATTCACCAGTTTTGTGTTCTTTCTAGCAGCAGTGGGAGCCGTGGCCCTGGCCTGATGTCATTGAGAAGAAACACCCAGGGCTTTCACTTAATCAGACTCAGCTGCTTTCATAACAGGAACAAGCCTTCCTTACAGGGGCAGAAATAACTCATTAGTGGAACAAGGAATTATATGACTCTAGTTGTTTTCACAAGCTCCAGGGGTGAATTGTTTCTGGGATACACAGTACTTGTAGGCTACAGCGGCCCAGAGGCTGTCAGTCTTATCTGGAAGGCATTAGTTGTGTGATATTGATTAAAATATAAATTATCACATCGGTATTGATCATGGTAACTATACATCTGGCCAGACAGATGGGCTGAGATAGGATGAGAAAAAGGGAGAGCACTTTGCTTTTCCACTTTTCCAGTCTCTAGACCAGTGTTTCTGAACCAGAGATGATTTTGTCCCCTAGGGGATAATTACAGTGGCTAGAGACATCCGTGCTACCCTGGGGGTATTACAGGTGTCCAGTAGGAAGAGGTCAGAGATGCCACTAAACATCCTACCGTGCACCCCCGCCCCAACATTTTACAGCCCCAAAGGTTAGTGGTGTCAGCTGAGGATTGCTGCCGAGACCGGCATCCTCAGTGGTAGGGGCTCTGCTTGGGCCTTTGTATGGTATCAGAATAAGTTCACTCATTGTCTGTATGGGGACTTGGGATATGCTCTCTGCTGTCCCTCTCAGGCGTCTGGTGCCTACCTGCAGTGTTTGGAATGGAAAAATACTTTTCTGTTAGTCAGAGGCACTTGGAAAGAGTCCAAGAGAACCTGTTCTAATCTGGGAGAGCTGGCAAGGGTACCTGTGTCTCAGGCTGTGGAGCTGCATTCTAGAAACCTTTCCTAAGCTGCTTAATGTCCCTGATCATTGTTCTCAGAAACTTCATGGGACTCCTGGGTGACTTTATCCAGGCTCAGTGACCTGCAGCTGTCTCATTTGAGATTCATGATTTCCTGGCCAGAGGCACTTGTAGTGAAAGTTAGGTCGCAGGTCTGGGTGTTTTCCTAGTGACCTTGATGGAGTCTCTTCACCTGTCTAGATCCCAGTTTCCTTGTGTCTCAAGTAGGATATTAAATCTTACCTATATTCTGCAAAGAGCTGCTGTGAGGTTCCAGGGAATAAATCTGTGGAAATATTCCAAGAATTTTAAAATGTGTGCATAAGTGATGTTCTTCTGAGGGTGGGGTATGTAAAAGTAAATTCCGGAGTTACTAGTTACTTTTGGAGAGACTGCATTTCGGCGGAGGCCTTGCCAAATTTGAGATATGGAGCTTCAGGGCTCAGGAGCTGGCCAGCAATGTGCTGTTCAGTATCCTAATCTGACAGGCCAGGTTTCCTAAAGTCTTTAACTCTGATGCAGCAGGCAAGAGGCTTTTTCAGATTGTCAAAAAGCTGGAAGATCTCTATGGCTTTATAGGTAATTTCCCATATTAAAATTGATTCTTCATAGTCTTCATCCCAATTTGTAATTGTATACATGTGTTTGAAATCTCATTTTTTAATGTCTAGACAGTAAATTCCGGGAGAGCAGTGTCCGTTCATGGCTGTGTCCCCAGCACTTGGCACATAGTAGATGATCAACTAAATGTCAAGTGAATGAACGAATGGCAAGGGAGAGAGAAGCTTGGGCTTTGAAGTCAGGAAGGCTGCGTCCAGTCTCAGCACTAGTGGCTTACTGATTGTGTGGCTATGGGCAGCTCCACCGCTCCCCATATCCACCATCACCGCTGCACTTGTCACTTTTGTTCTCATGTCATCATAAACTTCTCCTTTGTGCCTTTTTTAACTAAAGGATTGTTTTGATTAATTCTCCCTCTCACTGGACTATAAGCTTCGTGAGGGCAGGGGCCATGTTTGGTTTTGTGCACTGTTGTAGTCTCAGTTGTTAGCAAAATACTAGGCACTTAAGAGGTAGGTACTTAACACAGAGGTAGGTACTTAACACATGTTGAAGAATTAAATAAACCTAACTTCTCTGAATGTTTCCTCATTAGGAGAATGGAGAAATAGTTGCTGACTGAGTGTTGATTACATGTGATGATACATAAATTTTTTTGGTACTGGGAATCAAACTCACGACCTCATGGCTGCCAGGGAGGCCCTGTGTCACTGAGCTATATCCCCAGCCAAATGTGAAGATATATTAAAGCAACCAACACAGGACTGGATTCATGTGTCTGCTCGGTACATGTAACTTCCTGTGCCCTTTGAAAGCATCAGAGCTTTCTGGAGATTGGATGCTCTGTTTCTTTTCTTTCTAGGCGTGGTCTCTGCAGGACTGATGTGCATACTACTAGACGGGCAACAGGTGGATTCAGGGCAGTCCTGAAAGTACAGAAAGATCAACGCTTACAGATGCAAAGTGCTGGTGGTGGATGATTTATTAGAATTTCAAGGTGAATGACTTTTCACAAGATCCAAATGTTAATGTGGGGCTGGTCAGAATGTCTAGAATCTGGTTGCTTTCTGGATGCTGGAAGCTTTCCCTGAACCTTGCAGGATCCCAAAGTACCTCGTGGTCTCACAAAGGATATGGATTGAAAAAGTGAAAGCAAATACAGAGTTCTTTGACATCCTTCACTCTTCTTCAGTGTCACCTAGGAAAGCCATAGAGTCTTGAAAGTTTTAGAGAATCTGAGAAGGAAAAAGCATCTTCCTCACTTGGCAAATGAGAAAACAGAAACTAAGATGAGAGAAAGTGACTTTGTGGCAGCATCTATGCTAGAAATCCAGTGCTGCTTTCTGGTGGCTTTCTCTCTTCCCCACTATCTTCCTGGTTCTTGGTAATGT